GATCTATTTTTCACCAGCTCTTGGCAAGGAGCTACCTGAAAGTGGCTTCATGTTTGTTATAATCTGAACCGTTGTCACCTTTGATGTTGAATATGATTTGAGAGCCTATTCTATGGATTGACATGCTAATGCTACAAAATTTTGAACTTTTATCTTCTGTCCATAATTTGTACTCTCGATTCATTAGTGAAAGTAAGTAAAACAAACTAAATTGGATTAAATGTTAGGAATTAGTTCGTGGACTTAAATAGTTGTTACTTCTGAATTCTGATATTAATAGAGTATTGCTTATTGTTAATTTTTCCATAAAATACTAATATACTAGTCCGCAATTGTGCAAAATGAACACTCCTGATATGGTGGTATCATTCTTGCAATGTTTGATTTGTGACTTGTAGCATTGGGCTTTGTTCTTCCATTAATCAATCAATCAAAGCCTTAATCCTATAAGTAGGGTCAGCTACATGAACCAAAAATAATTATTTCGTAAAGTCATCCACAAAAATCTTCTTCCTCCATCCCTTACGATCAAATGCCTCATGCTCATGCAAATCCATATACTTTATATTCTTCCTAGCTCCTTCCAACCAAATCATTTCCGGGCTCTGTTCTTCTATGTACTGTTGTAATTTAAAGTGAGGATGAAGAAAAATGAAGCTTCAGTTATGTATTGTGGGTTTTTATTTTTTTTTATTTACTAGATTTTTCTTTAATCTGTGTAGGTTGCCCTTCTGAATGGTATTTCAATGGGTGGTGGAGGAGGTGTATCAATTCCAGGGACATTTCGTGTTGCAACTGACCAAACTGTGAGTGTTTGCCTTTGTTGTATGCTTCCTGAGTCTTTCTGCCACCTTTCAAAGCAAGATATATATACTCGACTATATCTTAATAGTTAATATCAATAAATAAAGTAGAAACAGAAAGATCTTTTGTGACTACCTCCCTACCTGTTATTAGCTTCATCCTTGGATTGGTTGAATGATGACTTTGATGAGGTATCTGAACTCTAAAAAAGCATGGAATACCCTTTGCAGCCTGTTTGTTGGTTTGTGATTTTAATGCTTTTATTTGTCATTTTGCAAGGTAGAACTCATGCCTAGTCCACGGTAATGAATCTCCATCCTCAAAGTTCTTTCTTCAAAAATCTTCAACACCACTTAATACCATCTCTAAAGTGTAGTTGAAATTTATGAAGAAATTCACATTTTTGGGAATGGACAAATGTTACCATCGAGTCATTGACGTTGGCATGAGGACTTTGCTTTCAAAGTTACACATAAATTACGATCTACCCTGCAGGCTGTTTATAGTTTTAAATTGCATGTTAATTTGAATTTATCTAAGCATAGAACTGGAGAATACATCTGCTGCACTTTCCATCAAAATGATGTCTGCATTGAGTTTGGGACTCTCTTTAGATTTACTTGTAATTATGTTGTTCCCTCTTTGTGAGTTCAGGTTTTTGCCACCCCAGAAACTCTAATCGGTTTCCATCCTGATGCTGGGGCCTCTTTTTATCTTTCTCATTTACCTGGTCACATAGGTAAGATTAACCTTTTGTCTTCTCTTGATTGTGCTTGTGTTACTATTACTTTTGCCTTTTCTTTCCCCTAGGAATGCACTTAACACATGGGAAAGTCCTGAGTAGTGAGAAATGCTAAGAAATTATCTGTAAATTCTTCTTCTTCCCTTCATTTTTTGGGGTGGGGTGGGGGTTCTTTAGCTTGGTCAATGGTTCTTCATTGTTAAGGTTTCTCCCTCCTCATATTGTAACAAACGTGGAATTGTCAAAACCGAGAAAGGAAGGAGGGAAACCAGATGGATGTATTGGTGACTATGACCCAATGGTTTTGTGGTGGTACGGGATGGATCACCTCTTAGGTAATTACATCTAAAAAAACAAAAGGTTTAGTTTTTCAGCTGGCATTGACCTGTTTAGTAAAAGAGCTAGAACTGTTGGCTGGGAATTTTAAATTTTATGCATCTTGCATCCTAGTATAATTTACCTCCACAAGAAGACAGAAACAATTGTTGATTACCCTGCTTTTCCTCTTGGAGCATTAGTATTACTTGTATTGGACAGGTGGATCTTTGATATAGCATCTTTTTATTTAACTCAAGTAACTCAATTACTTTCAGTATTTTTTGCCGAATGATATGTCACTGCCTTGTTGACTTAATTTGATAATTACTTTTTCCCCTTGTAGGAGAATATTTGGCTCTGACCAGCAAATCTCTCAGTGGTGCTGAAATGCTTGCGTGTGGGCTTGCTACACATTATTCACTTAGTGCTGTCTGTTCTATTGCATTTTGTTCCTGATACTGTGTTCTTTTTGTAGTGATGCAAATACTTACTATACTCTCCTGAATTTGACAGAAGCTTCCTCAAATAGAAGAACATTTAGCCAATCTGGTCACTGATGATTTTTCTGTTGTTGAGACTTCCCTGCAGGAGTTTGCTGACATTGTCTCTCCTGACAATATGAGCATACTTCACAGGTTTGCTTTACTTTGTGAATTCTGATCTTTGGCTTTAAGTATTCTTTATGGCTCACAATATTCTTGCTAGAACTTTGAGTATTATATTGTTTTAGGGTACTGTCTCAGTATCTTGTGCTCTATGAATGAATTATTTCCAAGGAACATAACTAGGTGAAAGTTTAGATGTTTTTAGTTTCTTCCTGGATTTCCACTGGAATTATGGGAACTATGAGCTCAATGAATAAACATTTTTCCATCCCCATAAAAAAAGGTCAATTTCTTCTCACTAGCTGATGTAGCTGCAGAAATATTTTTCTTATATGTTATCAACATCCATTTAGTTGCAGGCTTGGTTACTTGGACTTGGCTAGAAGTGTCTGACACCTGGCATGTTTCCAAGTGTCAAACATGGCCATTTTATGAAAATTTTGCATGATATTCCAAAGTGACTTTATCTTGGCTAGGACTATGACTTTATCTTTTCTGTTCTCGGTGTCTGTCAGGTTTTTTTATACTGTATTGACAGATGGCTATTGATGTTGCCTTTATTTTTTGTTCCTCTTATGTCTGTGTACGTCTCATTTAGTCTACTTGTTCAGGATGGAGACCCTCAACAAATGTTTTGGCCATGACACTGTTGAGGAGATAATTGATTCGCTGGTACACTTATTCTCCTAATTTTTCAACCAGTTTTTACAGCTCTAAACTCATTTTACTTTATTCATGTTACCTTTGAAATGCCTGGAAAAATTGTCACATGTTCTGTTATGATTTTGTAAAATTATATATCTGCTATTACCCCTTGTATGACATGATTGTCATCAATAATGCTCAAAAAAGAAATTGTCTATGTGCAATTGCTATCTTCAGGAAAGTATCATAAAGTAGTATATAGTTAATCACATAGTAGACTTTAAGGACATGGTTCTCCAGATGAATGCCATTTGGGGTAGGCGCGAATAGTTGAGAGAAAGTGCCAGTATATGAAACTCCTGCATAGAGAGCAACACTTTTTAGTAAAATCAAACATAATATATTAAATTATTACAGCCAGTGGGAATACGTTGTTTTTCATTTATTGGAAATTATGTGCTATTATATGATGCTTCACAAAGTTTTTGCTTTTGCCTGCCCTATATGTTGGATAGCTGAGGTCAGTGGCGGTGTTTGTTCAATCATCATGCTCTTGTTTCCTGTAAAAAAATTGCTTTCAGTCTTCTTTTTTATCTGCTTAATTGGTGCTGCAATTGCTGCTGCCTCTCTCTAGCAATATGTGGCAAAGCTGGATTACACATATTGCAGGATCATGTTTGTTGGTTTGGTGCTCAATATTTGACTTACCTCATGTTGTTTGATGCCTGTGATGGTAATTACATCTGTAAATTTGCATTGAAAGAGGTCTATGTGTGCAATATTCTCAGGAAGATGAGGCAACTAAAACAGATCATGCTTGGTGTGCTTCCACTTTGAAGAGGTTGCGGGAAGTGTCCCCCTTGAGTCTGAAGGTTTCCTTGAGATCAGTGAGTTTCTTCCACCCATCTTTATGTCCCCTCTGAAAAAAAAAAAAAAAGGTGTTTGCATCTGATGCCAACAACTTATGTATAACCCATCAGATACGGGAAGGTAGATATCAGACTCTTGACCAGTGTCTGGCTCGTGAGTACCGAATGTCGCTTCAGGGAATCACTGGAAAGGTCTCAAATGACTTCATTGAGGTATTAATGTGTTACATATGCTTGTTTATTATTTCTATCACCGCTATGCTTCTCTTAGTATGCTCTGGCATGCTTTCAGGGTGTACGGGCACGAATGGTGGACAGGGACTTCTCACCTAAGGTATTTTAATTCAAACTTTTTCTTTATGGCCTTTCCCAACCTATCATATACCCCCCTGGGTAATTGTGCGCCAAGACCCTTGTGAGGATCGGCCACCACGTTACATGTTTGTGCGCCCCTGCACTTGCACATTACCAAGATGATATATTGATGATATGCTTGGAAGTTTATCTAATAGAATTTTGTTTATCTTGCAGTGGGATCCACCGAGTTTAGATAGAGTCTCCAAGGATATGGTGGATGAATACTTTTCCCCTCTCAGTATATCTGAACCAGAATTAGAGCTACCAACAAAGCAGCGAGAAGCATTTTTATAGTGACTTTGAAAGACCATTACTGTCCAACACATTAAACTTTTAGGTGACTTTTACTGTAAATAATCCTATTGATTTACTCTAAATGAGAATTAGTCACTGAAATTGAAGCAATGAAAAGTTGTGTTGCAGCTATATCCGATTTAATCGTAGATTCATGTCGGAATTTTTCTCCAGATTAAGAGTCTACACTCTACAGATGTGCTCCAAATGGCTTACAGTAAGAGTTCGTAGACATGTTTCTAGCTATTTGAAAATATCAATGAAAGGTGTTCCCTAAATTGTTTTTATTTGATGTCACAATTCTCAGAACTGTTCAAAGGCAAAAATGGTTGTCTATTTTTTGTCGAATTGTTGGCTTATTGCACATCAATTGGAAGTACATAATTTCAAATGCACCAAATCAGTCGTTTACGATGAGAAATCATGCAACAGTTCTCAATCATATATCTCATTTCTAAGTAGTTTTAACTGAAGCAAACAAAATTGGCTATTCTATGCCAAGAAAGCATTTCTCTCTCCATGATGCAAATGTTAAAAATATCATGAAAATCCTGTATCCACTTTTAGCTTAACAGATTATACTGGTTGAATCTCTAGACCAGTGTGGCTGTGATGGTCACTTCCATTTTCAGAAGACGATGAGGAATCACACTTGTGGTCTGAAGTCATTTCCTGGACTGGCGGAGGGTTCACAACAGTCATAGCCGTCATAGTATTTTCTGATAGCCGTCCCTTCATTTCTCTGTGTTCCTGGCATAGCGCACACCAGTGCATGCAGCAGTGCACAACACACGAATCACAGGGCGAATCCTGTATTTTACGTTATATCAGTAATTTGATCTCCCTACTATCCAAGAACACACTAAATAGTAGTCCTACTCTTGGACATGTGTCTAACACAAGGTCCCGAGTCTGACTACATAGTTCGTCAGTAAATCTTCAGGACTAACAGCCTGACATGAATACTGTGTGCTCTTCTGATTAATTTTTTTAACTGCAGAACTAAAGATCAGCTCTTGAACTGCGCTAATTACCTGCAGATGATACTTCTTTTGCAATTCTTCTCGAAATAAGCCATTGTATATTCCACATATCCACCAAGCAAACAGCAAGCCCTCACCAACAAGACGTAAGGTGTTTGGATCGATGAAACCATTGAAGATTGAAATCAATGCTGCAATAGTGATGCCTCCTTCAACACAAATAGCGTGACAAATGCACGCGTTTGTCCAAGGGATTTCCTCCTTAAATCTTTCAACATTACGGCCAAACAACACACAAGGGCAGAATAATCCAGTCATGCCTGCAAGTTACAGTAAAAAAAAACATGTAGGAATTTTGACTGTTATACAAATGTTGATAAATGCAGATGTTTTAAGCCAAATCCCTGGTACAACAGCTGCAGTAGTTCACTTTCGACGAAATGTTATATACTGAGGGTGTCTCTATGATCAATGATAGTCAGTCAATAGACTTACAGCTCTCAGGATCTTGAGCACATCCACAAATTCCAGTCATCCACGGCTCATCAGCAGGAATCTCGAACCCGGCCGGTAGCTGTTGCCCACACTCCGGGCATGTCTTGACATGTAACTGTTAAGTGATGCACCACATGTATGTAAGTATGTTTATTTTCATGTTATTATACATGATCCATATATGTAGGACATTCAACCATTTCGCTATGCTATGTAGAGGCCAAGGAAAGTAATTTGATTACTAATAATGATTATTATGAATAATTTGTACATGTTATTAGAATAAAGTTAATCAAAGTAATTTAGTTAAATGAAGTATGAAGGCTATGAACTAAATATGCATTATTGCCTTCTAGAGTTGTAACTTTCTTTAAGTAATTAATATATCTTGTTCTAAACTATGAATTTCTGTACTACCATAATTTTGTCATTCAAGAAGCATAACGTCATCCAAGGAATTCCTTAAAAGAAAAACAAAAATGTCACCTAAGGTAACAATTCATACTTTTGTGCCTTCCAACTTTAATTGTCGCATTGTCCCAACCCCTCATAATAATTAAGGATTTATTATGATTCGCTAAAAAAGAAGTCAAAAACATATGCATTTGTCACTTTCCTATCTTCTCTCTACACCACCTTATCTAGTGAAATCATGCTTGAAAATTTTCATAATGGAGTATTTTAAACAAGTAGTATTACTGTATAAAAATAAATTCTCCCAAACATTTATGGTACACAATTTGTCAATTTGATACCTACAGGCTGCAATCCTTACTAAATCTGATCATCTATCTTGTTGGCACACATTTTTATATTTGAAATCACACTGCCAAATCTTCCAAATAATATGTACAATTTATAATGAGGAAAAAACACGCCTATTTTATACTCGCATACAGAGTCATGAACGAGAATGATGTATATGAAATTCAATCTTAGTTAAGTCTCATCTTCATAAAAAATAATGATTTGACAACATCAATAACACTAATCGCGAAAACAGAATTACCCAAAAGATCAAAATGTCTAAATGTTCACATGAAAAAAAAAAAAAAAACCTGAGGAACATGAACAGGCTGATTGAGCTCTCCAGGGGTAATTTCAACAGCTTCTTGTTCCTTTGTTAACTTCACGTACTGTGATGCATTATTCTCCCCCATTTTACTCTATTATCATAAATCTGCAAATAAATTAACATTTTCATACATTAATTTAATTCAGCTCATATATTATTTTTCATAGATTCATAATATATACTTGTATAAAGTTTAAAATAAAAGAAAATGAGATTATTTAATTCCTACATACTGTAATAATTTTACAATGCCTTGAATCTGGAAATCAACCAAGATCAAGAGTTATATTAATTGATTTAGAGAAAATGTTAGTTAAGATTTTAAAGTTTTCTCAGTAAAATTCGGTTCTTGTAATTCTATAAATGGCAATGTAGAGTGTACGTAGTAGACCATCATTTTTACTACTTCGTAGTGTTTACCAAATTAATTAAATTTAAAATATTTTTTCGAGATATTTGATTAAATTTACTCCCTCTGGCCTCTACTATTCTCATTAAGAAGGGATTTGGTTATATCACCTGCGCTCTTGGATTCTTCTTATTGAAAATTTACTCCCTTCTTATTCTCATTAAGTTATATCCAAGAGCGCAGGTGATTATATTATGCGGAGTATTTTTTATAAATTAATGAGAATTTATAGTCAAAGTGTTGAAAAATTAACTCATATATTAGCAATTGGGCAAAAATAAGAAACCGAGGAATATAGATAATCAAGTTATGGTCCAAGCAAAACCGATCTTCTGCACACTCCAATTCAATCGTGGCTGGTCAAGTCTTAGACCAACAAATAGCTTTGCGTACCTTTAACTATCAATATCTTGGAGAATTCTTGCACATACGCTGCCCCGGCGCATGAGTCGCATAACATGTGATCAAATGTGTATTTGTTACAGGATAATACATTATTATTAAACTTATCTCGTATGACTCGTATCCTTTAATGTGTCTTTGTGGGCCGTTGTCGCCATTTAGCAACCTCACACATTTGCTGCCCATTGCCTAATTATTGTACTGTAGTCCCTTATCGTTACACTGTTGATCACTTTTCAAATTGTTTCCCTCGTTACATATTAGTTGTAAATTTAAGACATTAGTTATACGATAGTAATCATTTATCGAAAAAAGTGCATACGAATCATAATAATTTGATTCATATGCTTTTGAAACGTAAGTTATATAGTAATTATTTTGATTTGCCGTATCCTATATGTCCACGCCCTCTTAAATTTTAAGATGAATAATCTTAGATTTTGATCCACTCATTTTTTTTATTATTGGTCCACTCATTTATTAAATTTTATACAGTGAGTACGAAGTAGTTGGTATTACCATAATACCATCTGTTTTCTTTTTTTCCAATAAATAGAAATAAGCAAATAACCATTACTCATTTTGCTATTTATAGTGAAATAAGAGGCGCTCTCCACAATTTTTTTTTCCAGAAGTGCTATATAAACCTGGTGAGCTCTCTACTCTATATTATTATTATTATTATTATTATTATTATTATTATTATTATTATTATTATTATTATTATGTTTTCTGTGTGGCTGAGTACACTGTGTGGCCGACTGTAACACACTACACTAAAACACTTAACGAAAAACCCCTAACCAATTGAGTAATCTCTTACTAATTGAGTAATCCATGACCAACCGAGTTACCCCAAATAAGTAACTTCGTGTGTATTATCATTAATGTGTCTTGATTGATAATTTTAGAATAACTTTGTTATTTTTTTTTATAATTTTTGAGTGTTATCTTGTTAGTTTCATGTTGAGTATGTATAATTAAACTATGCATTAATTTACATTGTAGGCAGAAAGGCGACAAGCGTATCATGCATAAATGAGTAAGCTAGCATCAAGGGTTGTAGCTTACTATGTTGAAGTGATAGTAATATTGATGAGTTTGGTATCATTGGCATTGTCCAATTATCCTCATCATGCCACAACAAAAACATTGGAATCGGAATCTACAATTGTTGAATTTCTGCCTGGATTTCCCGGAAAACTCCCTTTCACTCTCGAAACTGGGTAGGTATACCATATACTTTTATAGATTCATATGTTTATATGCGGATATCTCAACCTATAATAGTTTGAGTCATCAGCAATTCTAATACTCCCTCCGTGTTTTAATAAGTGTTACACTTACCAAATCCAGATGTATTTTAATAAGTGTTAGGGTCTCTTCTGATGCGATTATTTTCAGTTCAGTTCAGCTCCTAATTTCCTTCTCTTATAAAATATTCAATTCAGTTCAGTCAATTCAGTTCAATTCAGCTCTAATCAGTTCAATTCAGCTCAGCTCTAATAAGTTCAGTTCAGTCAATAAGAACAGGCCCTTACACTTCATTACTTTTCAATAAACTATTAACCCCACTATCTTTCTTTTATAATTTTTCAATACTCTAACTACCTTATTCACCTCTTATTTTATTTAAGTCAATTATATTGCCTAAAACTATGTGCCGGTCAAATTATGACACTTATTAAAACACGGATTGAGTAATACTTGTTGATATTAAGTTGTACAGTGTTTAAATGATAATATCTTTCAGTTTCACGCCCTCATCAACTCTTATTTGAACTTATTATTAACTTTATTAATCCAATGCAAACTTATATTTCCTAGCATAGGTTGAAAACTAGTCAACAATATAGAGTTTATGTTCAGTTGGAAGACAAAAATCGATTTATTATGTAAGGAAAAAAAAGGTGATGCGATAACTTATTAAGTTTGTTTCCATGTGTAGATCAATTCAATATAATACGAAGTAACTTTTTAAAAAAAATTAGTGCAAAGTTATTATTATTTAATATGTACCTTAAGACCAAATTTATGTGCATTAGAAATAGTGGGAAAAAAATGTAAATGCGACAAACTAAAATATAAAAAATTGCAAGTTTATTCATAAGTTGATTTAAGTTTGATCAATACAGATATATTGAAGTTTGGGGAGAAGTGCAATTATTTTACTACTTCATACAATCTGAGAAAAACCCAGAAACAGATCCAATTTTGGTTTGGTTTGCTGGAGGTCCTGGTTGTTCTTCCTTTACTGATCTTGTTTTTGGGCATATTGGTAAATTCACAGTCAGTAACTTTGTTTTATAATTGATTTATTAAGAAACTTGGCAATTAATTTTCTAATAGCCTTTTTTGTAATGATAATGCAACAAATAAAGGGCCTTTATCCTTCAATTTTACGGGAATTGATTTCAACTATACAACATCAACTTGGGAGGTTGATATACCAAGACTTGAATTAAATCCTTATTCTTGGACCAAGGTATATATTTCTAATCCAATTATCTAATTACCCTAGTTTTTTTATTCATCTATTTGTAATTAACAGTTTGTACATTGGTGTGAGAGTGAGGGATAACTCAATTGGTTAGAGTTTTCTTCCCGATTTCAGGAGATCTTAAGATCGATTCTCACCCCCGCCATTGTGGCTCTCTAAACACCAAAAAAACAGTTTTAGGTTGTAAAAAGTATATACTACCTCCATTTCTTATTAAGTGCAACAAAGAGGTATTATTTGTGAGACATAAAATATTCCTTTGTTGCGGAAACGGAGGTAGAAAAAAAAAAATTCATTCTGTATTTCAAAATAATTATTCAATCTACGTTTTAGGTTGCAAACGTAATATTTCTAGATTCACCTTCCGGCGCTGGATTCTCTTATGCAACTAACAAATCTTATTACCCAAGTGATACAAAGACATCAAAACAAGCACACGAGTTTTTGAAGAAGGTTAGTTTGTTACATGTGTAGGGGAAAAAAATAGCCTAAAATATGAAGTTTCAAATTATTGGTTATTTTTATTTCTGAAGTGTGATGCATACAGTGGCTTATTGAGCATCCTAAATTTGCAAGAAACCCTCTTTACATAGCTGGTGCTTCATATGGGGGAAAAGTTGTCCCATCTCTTACATGGGAGATTGTAAAAGGTACTTATTCATTCCCATATAAATTTACTCATAATTATTCAACAATCTTATTAGTATTGTAATTTTGATTTTATATTCATGCAATACATTGACATTACTCAAACCAATTACTATATGGTTTCTAAAATAATGCAAACTTTGGATTTTAATCTTATAAATCAAAACTTTGCCAGATATAAGGTCTTTGCTTTTCTAGCTAAGATATCAATAATCATCAATATAATATATACTAAAAGACACACCTACCAGCAATGGCACGTGTCATCTCCTGGTGTGTTCTTAATTATTATTATTATTTTTTTATATAAAAAAATCTATTAATTAAGGAAACAAATCAATTTCGAAAATAATATTATTTGTTGTACATATTCCATATTGATGTAGTATATTTAAAACAAAAAGACTTCACAAATAAATTTTCTAAAACAGATAATTGGACAATTATATACCAAAAATTTTATTCTTAAAATAATTTTGTGATCTGTTTTACAACAACAAAAAAATATTGGTCGGATTTTTTTACCTACTTTTATTTTTAATTGTGTATTAGAAGGTACAATTAAAATTTAACATATCACATACTTTTATTATTCCTCGACTAATTTATGATTATAATATGTATCTATTAATAATGTATAACTATCACCGTATGTAACCTAGTCATTGTGATATTCTTGTAACTTTTTCCTTGAGTTTTGCATCCTTTAGGAAATGAAGCGGGTATTGGACCAAAATTTAATCTTCAGGTATGGTATAATACTCCCTTCATCCCTTAATTAGATTCCTACTTCTCTTCATTAATTATGTGAGGGATAAATGCTAGAAGTAAGAATATAATTAAGGGACGGAAGGAGTAATGCACGCATTATTCAAGTATATACTTTGTATATGCTCCATTTGTTCATTTTTATTCGATCTGCCACTTTTTTTAAAATTAAATATAATTATTTTCTCTTGGTAATATATGCATTAAGGATATATTCTCGTAAATCCACTCACTGCTTGGTACCTTGATGATCAAAAGAAAGTTGAATATGCTCATCGCGTGTCTCTTATATCCGATGAGCTCTATAAGGTTAGACGTTATTACTTAATTTTCTATATAACGAGATATTTATGTACGTAATTCTTTAAAATATTTAATTTGTTAAAATGTTAGTTCTTTAAATATTTATAATTTCACTAATTTTCTCAAAAAAAAAATAATAATAAATTATTTCACTAATAATGCATCATGTATTCTTCAATTGCTAGTCTGCCAAATTAAGCTGCAATGGAGATTATCGGACAAATTATGCTAATAAGAGTAATGCACGGTGCAACAAGTTTCTTGAAGATGTATCAAATGTGAGTGGTTCCTTTTTTTTTTTTTTTTTTCTTCCTTAGTACATATTTTCACCAATCCATAGTTTCATACTGCATTATTTATAAAGCAATCTCATTTTCAAAAACCAAAAATATATAATACACAATCTCGTATACATCTATTAAGGGTGTGTTCGGCCAAAACAAGATCAAAGACACTATATATCCCTTAACATTTATTAACATACCCCTTAACATTTATTATACCGATCTGTGTGTAATTTTTATATAAATTCCCAACTTAATTTCAATTTAGGAAATTAATTATTTATTGTTTTTATATAGCCTTAAGGGCTACCTATATTATTATCCTATTTTATATAATAAACTGATCTGAATAATAGCTCTAATAAATCGTTCTTCAAACTTATTTTCATAAGCTCATCTAAATTTATCAATGTTTGATGTAAAACCTTTTTTTTTTTTAACAAGATTAATAAAATTGAAGTACTATTTTAACCACAAAATAGTAAATTATACTTTTATTTTATAACTAGATAATACTGGTAATGCAGTGTATCGATGTACTAGAAGACCAGCATATACTGGATCCTAAATGCACCTATTCATCGCCAAATCGTTGGTGCCGGGTACGTACGTACCATTGCTTTAATCTTTTCTCTTCTTCCTGTTGCAATACTATACTTTGCATTGTCAACATTTATTTATCTGTATAATTATTCTCAACTTTTCATGTCAATATTTCTTTCAAATTTGGAGATTATAATTTTAGACTGTGTTCTATTTATCTAATATTCACTTATCTGAACTATTTAATACAGTACATCTTATTAAAACTTATTTTAGTTGTAATTTGTATTAGGTTCGCCTTATCATAACTTATTTTTCCCGATTTGAACTTATTACACCTTAAATAAGTGTAAATAAAGTGAACAAATTAAAATATAGCCTTAATCATGCTTATACTTTGTATATTATTATACACCTAATTATATATACGTAGTATTTTTTTTTAAAAGATATACAAATAGATTTATAATATTTGTGCTTAGGTTAATAAGCATTAATTAATTCGTTGCCAATACTGTAAATCCATGTGACTTAGGGCCTGCTCACATTTACTTAATTTCAGTTCAGTTTAGTTCAGCTCCAATCAATTCAGTTCAGTTCAGTAAATATGAATAGGCCCTTATTCACATTGAAATGGAATTTAGTTGCTATAGATCGGAGTACACCCTTTGTATTAATTTTTTATTATTTATTTATTTTTTATTTTTTATTTTTTGGTTTTTTTGTTTTTACTTGATTACTATTACGTGATCAAGCTTGAATTCCTTGATTGCATTTGATGGTTTATATTATGTCTGCTTTGTAGTTTTTATTAATACTTAATTTAAGGTACCCGTAGCAAACTAACAACCTAACATGTAATAATAAATACAGCAAGGGTTTATTTACAATGGTTCAAATTATAGTTGGGATGATTAATTATGTTAAGAACAAAACTATCAATTAAATGGTCTTTTTTTTTTTTTTGTAGGAAAATGATCATAAGATTGCTAACCAGTGGGCAAATAACATTAATGTCCAAGCAGCTCTTCATGTTCTAGAGGTAATACTCTGTATAATTTAATCCATCCATTACTCTTCAATAAGTTGTTAAGATTTCATAATCTTGTTCTAGCTTTATTTTCTTTACATGTCATTTCAAAATTTGGCTTAAACTTTGATACGTACATATGTCAAAGTATAGCCAATGTTTTATTTTCTTGAGATTATGTATGCATGTTTAGGGAACGATTAGCCAATGGATTCGTTGTCGTGGTCGTGCAATATTTGATGTGTTTAAGTACGATAAAGATATCGACAGTAGCATCATATATCATCAGAATCTTACCACCCAACCTCTCAGGGCACTAATCGTCAGGTAGTCCATATACTACTACTTGGTTTATATTTTCCATCATTTTTTTTTTGGTGTTTAGAGAGCCACAAGGGTGGGGTGAGATTCGATCCCAAGATCTCTTAGAATCGGGAGGGAAGCTCTAACCACTTGAGCTATCCCTCACTCTCTTTTCCATCCTTTTCTTAATTGGTCTGTTTTCAACAACCTCGACAATAATTGAAAATTTTATAGTGATCGATTGAAATATGATTATCATAATGTTCAATTGATTATGCACTATGCATATTGCAGTTCATAATTAACTTGTTTTTCTTCAAGTAGTAAAGTTTTTTTTTTTTCAATGAAACAATATCATCAACATCTTTTTATTTATCCAATTTGAGTTTCATTCATGTAATTTTAATTGTAATTTTATAATTCCTTAAAATAAAAAATTGGATTAAAATTTTCAATAATCATGCATGTTTGCATTGTAGATTTTAAAAGACTAAATGTGTCCATATTATAATGTGAAAAAATGTTCCTCAAAAAAAAAAGGGGGAAAAAAATGAACCAATCATATTATTTTATCATTAAAATATTTTGGTAGTCATATTTCAAACGACCATTACATGTTAAAATACATGCATATAAATTTACGCTGACTCAACAATACTTTACGCCACACTTTTTATTTTCAATAATCTTTTTGTAACATTGACAATAATTACTTTGATTTTAATTTGTGTAACAGTGGTGACCAAGATATGAGTGTTCCATATGTGTCCACATTGAAATGGATCAAGGAGCTTAATATTGTACCAAATGATGATTATTGGAGGCCTTGGTTTCTTAAAAATGGCCAAGTTTCAGGGTAATTATTCATTGAGAGTATATTTTTGTTTATGTTGAAGTTAATCGCTTATAACTACAATTTAAGAATAGTGAGTGAACTTCAATTCCTACATAAATCTAATTTGGTTTTATGTTGAAGTTAATCGCTTAAAACTACAATTTAAGAATAGTGAGTGAACTTCAATTCCTACATAAATCTAATTTGGTTTGATATTAAAATTTCTCATTTTCTTTTAAGTATTTATTATTATTGATGGTATCTATTATTGGCAGTGTTAAATAATTATAAACACACTTGCATGAAGGTCATTACTAATCTATTGCTTTATGAAATTATGCAGATATGTAAGCGAGTATTCAAATGGCAACTTCAATTTGACATTCACTACAATTAAGGTATAAAACGGCCCTTCCACAAAATTTGTTTATTTGTTCAAAAAATATATATATATAATTTCTTTATTTATTTATTTTCTTATACTTGGTATACAATATATATAATTACTAGGTCTGATAAAATATATATATATATATATATAATTACTAGGTTAGGTCCCGTGCCATGCACGGTTATTTTAATTACCCTATATTTTCTTTTGATAAATTAATTTTTTATAGCATAAAATATAAAAATTGTTAATTATCGAACAAAATTGAAGTAACATAGAATATTTGATCAAGATCATATTCTTAAAAAATATTTCACTAAAATTATATCTTCTTGAAAAAGATTATATATTTCCGAATTATTCCGTAATTATGTATCAACATAAAAATGGTAAGTATTATTGCTCATTTATATAGTTGACAAAAACAATTTTTTTTTTTTAAAATAACTTGCTTAAATTAAAATTTAATAATTAATCATTAAAAAAAATATACTAATATATTGATTTTAATACATATGATCAATTTAGGAATTAGGATTATGTATTATTCCAATTCAAATAGAGCTTAAATTGATTATTTTTGCAATTGAGAAATCATACTATTAAGACATTATTAAATTTGTAGCATTGTATAATCAAATTGCTATTTTTGTAGGGAGCAGGGCATGTTGCACCCGAGTATAAGCCGCGAGAATGTTTTACGATGTTTGAAAGATGGATCGCATTTAGTCCTCTATCATAATTTCACGAATATGGTCAACATTATCATTTGTAGAATTTGTACCTTGCACTTCATGAAGTATATTGGCTTATGTTAGACAAACTTTATTTAAAACTTAAAGCATGTCCGTTCAAAATTCACTAATACGGAGTATCAATTATTCTAATATCTTCAACAATCAAGATACACTTTCGACCATTAATATCTTTAACTTTATCACTAAAAGAATCTCGCCAACGAGTGTTAACGGGAGCATTAAAACTTATATTTGACCTTAAAAATATTCATATCATTGAGATGAATATCACATTGCTATATTTTACGGCAAATACAAGTTCGACTGTCAAATAAACGAATTTTTGTTAATCTAGTGGCATTTTTGTAATGAATATCACATGGCTATATTTTACGGCAAATACAAGTTTATATGCCAGATAAACGAATTTGTGTTAATTTGGTGGCATATCTGTAATGAATATCACATTGCTATATTTTACGGCAAATACAAGTTTATTTGCCAGATAAACGAATTTTTCTGGTGACATTTATGTAAATACATTAAAAAGCGTGGTCATTTATTCAGTACTTTCGGTCAGCTATTCAATTACTATTTGCAACTTGTATTTAGGAAATTACACATGTACCCCTCAACTAGTATATGAAAAGACACATGTACTCCTCCCCCACTAGTACTTGAAAAGACGATTATACCTTTGTTTATCAGGGGAATTAACTGGGCACAACTCTATATTTTATACAAAATAAATATTAATGAAATTTTCTTATCATATTTGTTAAAATTTGACTTTAAAAGTCAAAACAATGACATCATTTATTGATAGTAGGAGTATGATCTATTTGAAGGAAATGTGTCCTCGACTCTCATGCAATTACTAATATAATATGGATCGTATTATGGAGATAATAGGTTCGTTTAGTTGGGTCGTCTTTACGTCTTGCTAGAGACCAATATTGATCATTGGGTTAAACCAATGCCAACTAAATGGATCCTATGAGGTTACACATTATGGTGTTAGGTCGAACAAGAATATCGAGTCCAAAAGTTGGGCTTAGTGAATGACTGGCCATAAGGAGCAAGATAGGAATAAGTCTTGGCCTAATTAGATAATATGATTATATATTATAAAAGGCTTTGGGAGAAATATACTGACGTTCATCACTCATAAAGTCATAAAGAAACAACGTAATATTTTTCCCTTCCCCTCTCTCTACAACCGGTTAGAAACTCTCCATAGAAGAGGAGATTAATCTCTCCCGTCCAACTAGCATTAGTAGTGCATATGATCTTTACAGGATTCGAACATGCAACCTCAGACTCTTATATTAAATGTTTCACCAATAAACTATGACATATTTTATGTATTCTTTGTCAAACAATATTTATATATCTAGTGTTGAAAAGGCTTTTCGTTTCGATTTTTAGGATTTAGTGGCGATTGTAAATGATACGATTTCTCAAAATTATATAAATGTGTAAAAATAGTGTGGATATGTATTAGTATGTTTTCCGTATCGATTTTATATGGGAAAACCATGGCGATTGTAAAAATGATACGACATCCTTAATTATTTCACAAACATACTTGCATATTGTAGCGAATGTACAATCGCTACGAAATAATCGTTACGAAAATAGATTTTTCTTGTAGTGAATTGGGGCTCTAATCTCCGCAAGAAGGTGAAAGAAAGCTTGGGAATTCACGCATCCAAGGTTAATTCTAAACTATTACGTGATCCTTTATTTGTATATGTATGAGATCCTATTTAGGTGCGTATAAATGAGATTCGTGAAATTCCGCTCAGAGTACCTAAATCCCTTCACTATTCATACGAAAGGAGTGTACTAATTTTGTAAATTGGACTCTAGCAAGTAGCAAGTATGTGTATTGAGATTAGTGGGAGAAAGAAATACGAGTAATAAAATAATGTAATGATAAATATGGAGAAGTTGCAATAATTATTACTCATATGAAATACATATGTAAATAACACCCTCATTTTAATGGCCTCTCTCCAAAAAAAAAAAAAAAGTCCCAATGTGCTCTTTGTTCCAAAATTTTCCCTTCGTTTTTAAATACTTGCTTCACTTTCATTTTGTGACCGTTTTTAATTACTTGCTCAATTTCCTTATTTGAAAAACTTAAACAATATTTAATTCATTTATCTCAATTAGTGGACCCTCATAAAGCACACTTTATTAATTTCATATTCTATGCCCTTCTATTCTCTCGACTACTTTTATTTTTTACATTTTTTTTATTCTTCCACCAATTTAAATGGTCCAAATGCATTTATCTCAATATTCTTCCCTTATCGTAATTTACACAAAAAGATTTTAAATAGGGATACTCCGTATTACTTCGTATAAAATGGAAGAAGTATAACACACGTGTTGGTTTTCCATTGAGAGTTGTCAACTTTAGGGCAAAAGACAGAAAAGAGTTGATAAGAGAAAACCAATGATTGGCCAATTCAGGGAAACACCAATAAAGGCCTTCCTTCCTTAAAAGTTAAAACCCACAAAACTCACTCTTAAACAGTCAAATATTATGATTAGTGACTCAAATTATCATTAATTTTACCAATTATGAAGCAGAGCAATTTTAGAAAACAGAGCTACTCTGTTTTTCTTCTGGTATTATTGTTCAAATTATTACCATTAAATTCGATTAATTTACCAAATTCACATTCAAAACTCGTCAAATCCTTACCTGGGTTTCCTGGAAATCTACCTTTCAAGCTTCATACTGGGTATGCAGTTCACTATTTTACTTCTTTATTTTATTTTATAATCTATATTTTATTTATGCTAATTATTCTGAATAATCTAAAGCTGCTTCTTGAATATTCAATTTTTTTGTAAGATTATCATTTTATAGTGAATTTTTCGAATTGGGGATTTCATGTTGTCTTGGTAGTTATGTTTGATACTGATTGCAATAGATGATTTGGCTTGATACATATTTTAATTAGACTGTATCTTATGATGTATGTAACGTTTAAATATGTACGATTTTGTTAGATTAGTTTCAATAAAAATTTACAAATTTTCAAACTCTTTATTATTTTCACTTACTATTTTAGTTACTAATGCTAACATTAGTAACTATTGGCATTTATACTAGACAAAAACACAGCTATTGATATTTATATTAGGCAAAAACACATTTATTTATGCAATAAATGTCTCAAGTTTTGATCTTTTGTGTTTGGGTTATGTTTGTTTTTAAGGTTGTTTTGACCCACTTTTGGTTTGAAGTGCATATTTGTTTAGTAACTTTTCACAATTTTTGCTAGGTCTACTTAACTTTGAATTAATTGGGTCATATAGCTTTGGATTTGAGCACATTTTACTATAGGATAACATTATCTAATGTATTAATGTTAATATTCTTAAGCTTGGGTTATATGATGGACCATGAATGTTGTAATTGTAGATATATTGGAGTGGGGAAGGGGGAGGAGGTGCAGCTATTTTACTACCTTATTGAGTCCAACCGAGACCCGGAAACCGATCCACTTATGCTATGGCTCACTGGAGGACCTGGTTGCACTTCCCTGTCTGCAATTTTTTTTGAACATATTGGTAACTTGATGTTTTCTCTATTTAATAGTACTAAACAGTCCTTATTTCTATCAGTAAAAGCTAAATTCCCTAGTAACCAAAGTAGAATGTGATGTAACTTTGTTCGAGTAATTTGTGAAAGAGTAACAATGTGCTTGGAGTCCAGGAATGACTAACAATATAGAAGATAGAACATTCCGAAATCTTAGTAAAGAATCAGCACGCTTGCTGCTTGATATGATCCGATCCTTGGTGTCTCATGTTATTAGATTCGCCACAGTCTTGATTGATACCAAATATAGGATTAGAACCTCTATTTCCTTGCTTTCTTGTCTCGCTTTCAAATAAGATGGGCTATAATTATCATGTGTATAGAAGAGTTTGTGAACATTGCTTTGACGCCTTCATAGCTTAAGATGACTAGAGTGCATCAATTAACTGGGGCAATAAAAGAAATTTGGGACTTAGGATGAACATGGTCTATAAAGTATTGACATTGACATTGGCATATGCATATGCATATATTCTTTGACGAGTTAGATCCCTTATGATCGCTTCCTGCCAATTTTCATAGGCCCAGTGTTATTCTTAGCCATTACTTTTAGAGCTGTTATCTCTATTACTATTCCTTTCCAATATTTCCTCATTTCATATGAGATTCCTTTGTCTATTGTGCTTGAATTATATATGCCTCATCTTCTGCATTCTATTCAACCAGGATGACTGAATTAATGTGGTTTAGGGCCAATTCTGATTTACTGAACTGATTTGAACTGATTGGAGCCGAGCTGAACTGAAATGAATTGTTTATGAGAGAAGGAAATTAGGAACTGAACTGAAATTAAGATGAAGAGAACAAACCCTTAGTATTATGTTTTTAGAATGGTTGTATACTTTTTGAAACATTCTTCTCTGCTTACAACTGGACAATGGACCTATAGTTTCTGAATTGATCAAATTTATACTTTGTATGATAGTTTTTTATGATGAAGGTTTCTATGTTTAATATATGGTACTTCAACCACACAGGTCCATTATCTTTCAACTATACAGGAGTATATTTCAACCGTACTACATCTACCTGGGAGACTGATCTACCGGCTCTTCAATTAAATCCCTACTCTTGGAACAAGGTGTATATATAATATATGTATGATACAATTGGTTGAGTCTTTATTATCATGTGATATTAGACTATATAACTAAAGAAATGTGGTGTCCTTCTGTTCTTTTTCTTAATAACAGGTAGTCAACATACTATTTCTAGAGTCACCTGTGGGCACCGGATTCTCTTATTCCACAACTGCTGAATCTTACTATACTACTGATATAAAAGCATCAAAACAGATCTACGAATTTCTACGAAAGGTCAGTGAACCCCTTACTGTAGCACTGAAGTATGATCTGCTCAAGTACTGCCTAGAATCCAACTGATGGCTGATAATATGTAAATTTACCAGTTGGTGCACGCTGGTAGTAAATGGCTTTTAGCTTATAAAACTATCGTAATATCATTGTCCAGTCTTGTTAAATTCGTTATTTTCACCAGTTCTTCTATGAAATGCATGCAGTTTTATGTGGAACATCCTCAATTTGTAAAAAATCCTCTCTACATTGGTGGTAGCTCGTATTGTGGACTTATAGTCCCATTCATCATGCAAGAGATTGTAAAAGGTACTGAACTTTTGGTAATTTAAATGTGTTATATTATATTGAAAGAAAGTAATAGAAAAACTTGTGTGTAGTCCATTTCGATTTCTATCCCTTATTGTTAAAGTATTTGTTATCTAGGGAATGAAGATGAAACTGGTTCATCAATCAATATTAAGGTATGATACTCTTTCCATAAGAGATTATTATGTATTTATCGAACTGTTTAGAACTTTTTACATTGCATATTGCATTCATCCTTTTTATTTTTGTTGCCATGCTACTATATAGTTTGTTTCATCATAGATGAGGAGAAAAGGTTAACAAATTGATGCACTTGTATTCACCGTTTTATTGATCCAGGGATATGTTCTCGGAAGTCCTGTGAGTGATCCACACGAGAGTGATTTAATTGGGAGAATCGATTTTGTTCACCGTGTATCCCTATTATCAGATGATCTTTATGAGGTACACATTTGAAACTCAGCATCTTTCATGGTTGAAAACTTATAGCTTTATTTCGATGAGTGTGGTCAACACTGGGTGTTTTCGAGTAAACTTAACTGAACAAAGAGTAACAAGGTTTTTTTATCTTGCTCAAGGTAAGCAGAGGGTAGAAGTGTTAGTACAGTAACAGATACGAGTATAATTCAAAGAATGTTAGAAAAGTAAGTTATGGTGCTTTATGCTGAATTTGTTGAAAAGAATTATTCATCGTTTGTTACATTTCATTTTACAGTCAACCAAAGTAAGTTGTAGTGCTCCGAACTGGAATATCAGCAATGCAGAGTGCGAAGATAATGCTCAGACTGTAATTGATGTGAGTGATGTATGCATACATATATGTGGCTGATGTATGCAGCGTGTCTCTTCTAGTATAATAGCTTGAGCTCTTTTGTTTGTGATATGTTGAGTAGAGATGCCTATTATCATGCTATTAAGCATCTATCTTATGAGCTCTTCTAGTATATGTGATCTGTGTTTTCGAAAGAGAAGTATTCAATCAAAGTATTGGAGTAACAATTACCTCTTATGCAGTTTATTTCTCCATTAGATGATGATAATATTTTGGAGTCAAAATGCAATGATTTGTACCCAAGCAATTGGTGTCGGGTATGTAATTCCATTGCTCTTCATCCTTGATCAAGCTGTAGTACTGTCTACCAATAACCATTTCCTTGTCTTCTTTTCGCGGTATAGAAAAACTTTAATTTGATCATCGATAATTGGGCAAATAATGTTCAAGTTCGACAAGCACTTCATGTCCGGGAGGTAAGCTGATTATCTAACTGTTAATAAAGCTCAGAAAATGGTTCATATTATTGTTGTTATGAACTATAATATCATCACTAACCTTAATTGATTTTAGGGAACTGTGGGTCATTGGACTCGATGTAACTTAACCATGAGGACTCGAACATACAACTCAACAATGATGCGCAACAGCTTTGGTGATCATCAATATCTTGCAAACAAGCATATTAGAGCACTTATATACAGGTAACAACATACAAGTGATCTTGCAAATCATCAATACCAAAACTTTATAAACCTCATTTACTTTGGTTATAGTTTATAAACCTCATTAATCAAAGTTCTATTTTGCTCATAATTTAACAGTGGTGATCAAGAGCTGAGTGCTACATATGTAGGCACACAGAGATGGATCAAGAAACTCGACGTACCAATTGATAAAGATTGGAGGCCATGGGTTGTAAATGGCCAAGTTGCTGGGTAATTTGCTTGTACTTCTATTGTTCTTTAGAAAAAATAACATTTTTTCACTGAAATTTATTGACTGTTTAGTATTGTGCTATGCAGATATGTTACAGATTATTCAAATGGGCACTACAATTTGACATTTACCACAGTTAAGGTATAAATCAGACACATTATTCAGTATTATTTCTCTTAATCAATTCTTCTGTTTTTGTTCGGGAAAAAATTATAATAATTGAATTTGTGATTGTAGGGAGCAGGACATTGCCCTTCAGAGTATAAACCTCGAGAAAGTTTGTTCATGATTCAAAGATGGGTTGCACAAGATTATCTCTAGTGTCGCGATAGTTAAATTTGAAATTTTTTTGCCTTCAGAATAAGTGCACTAGGTAATCAACAAAGTTAGTATATACCTTGCGCTAGTTTAAATGTTTCTTTCATATTCCGCGGTTTTGCCTATTGTTAACCGGTATGTATGCATATTGAGGAAAATCTGTGTGAGTCGACTTATTATTAATTGATTTTAGGGTGAAACCTCCTTTGAAAATAAAAGTGGTCTTGCTCTCCTTATTATCAGAGTAGAGAGCTATTTCACTATTAATAAAATAATCGCGCATTCGCGCCTGTTACATATTATATGATTAAGCATTTGAAATTTTGAACCTCTTTACATCATTGTCTTTATACTTTAATAGGATAAGGTGAGGAAATGAGTGAATATAAGATAAGTTGGTTTGGTGTGAGTCTATGACCTAAACTTAAGAAACTCCTTTTGTTTTAAAATAAATTTATTTGACTGAGTACATATGTCAATGTAAAACTTTGACCAATAATATCTATAATTATCAATAAAGATAAATAATAATAAATAAAAACATTGATAGTATTTAGAAATAATACATTGAAACAATTTTAACAAATACGCACATAACTATAAAAATCTTTATGTATAATCCTCATATTATTAGAGTATGTAAATAGTGCAAAAAGTCAATATGAAGCATTAATTTAGAAAAGGAGAGAATAAAACACTTATTAATGCTTCACTTTTTATTAATTGGGTTTCAAAGAAAGAGTCTTGTCCGAACCAATAAAAAGAGCTAGAAAATTATGTTTTAAGTAAAAATGTTGATTTTGGGCGTAAAAATAAGTGAATCGCTAAACATCGCCCGCAAATTACCATATAAAGCCCACAAATATGATTTGGTGTGACCATTATGCCCATTTTCTAAAATTAAAATAATCTCGGTTTAAAAAATGTGGAGCCGTACTGGCTCGCCGGGGGAGACCGGAGGGCATGCCGGAGATGCGGGGGACGCCGGAGGTACGTCGTCGTCGACGGAAAACGAGGTAAGTCACCGTTAAAATTCACGGTTTACCGTCGGAGTGGCTCCGGCGCCTAGGATGGACGCCCAAACCGTAGCCTGGACGTCCAAGCCAAACGCCAGAACCACCAGAGTGGCGTCCAGCCCAGACGCCCAGACCACCAGACTGGCGTCCTGGCCAGGCGCCACTCTACTGGCTGAGGCGGCCCTGCCAGGCGCCAGTCCAGTGGTTGTGGCAGCCCTGGCAGACGCCACCCTTATAAAATAATTTTTTTTTCTTTTTTGATTTTGTTGTTGTTTTTTATTTATTTTTTTTAAAAAAAAAAATCGAAAATGATTTTTTAAAAAAATTCGAAATGGGTTTTTTTTAAATTAATTTTGAAAATTCGAAATAGGTTTTTTTAAAATTAAGTTTGAAAATTCGAAATGGTATATTTTTAAATTTAGTTTGAAAATTCGAATTGGGTTTTTATAAAAATTAAGTTTGATTATATATAATTATGCTTTTTTTTTGTGTTAATTCTGTGTAAATATAGAAATTAAATGTATTATCCGTTAAATGTTTTTATTGTAATATATAATTGATGCAGGATTATGGTGGAGACGGAAATGATTACAGTGGGATATTTGGACATGATGGTCCATTCGAAGAAGCTCAACAGGCGATTGATTGGGCAAAACAGGTTGCAATTGCAGCTGGATTTTGCTTGGTAGTAGTAACTCATAAATCTCAACGGGATGGTAGAATGGATCGCATTTTGAGATGTGACCGTTATCGCAAAAGAGAAGAAAGAGATTTTCGTACAGCCACTCGGTTTGATACAAAGCGGAAAGGTTGTGGGTGTGAGTTCAGAGTAAAGGTTCGACAACTACGGAGTCGTGACGGTTGGGAAGTGATTGGTTACTCTAAATGGGGGTATCACAACCATGAGATGATAGTATATGAAGAGGGTCATCGACAACTGAGCGGCTTAAGTCCTGCTGCGAAACTAGTTGTGAAAGAAATGAGTGATGCTCAAGTCAAGCCTGCTAAAATATTAGCATCTGTGTTAGAGAAATTTCCAGAAGACCATCCAAACCGAAGACACATCTACAACGTCAGACAACAACTCAGGTTTGAACGGTCAGAGGGAAGGAACCCTATACAGCAGCTGCTACACCAGGCACAATCACGTGGTTACCTGTTCTGGTTTGATTCTGATGAAGATACAGCGGAGGTGACTCATCTTTTCCTTGTGCATCCTGATTGTGCTGATATGATCAAGTCTTGGCCATTTGTGATTTTTATCGACTCAACGAACAAGACAAACAAGTACAAGTTCCCACTGGTTGAGATCATGGGGGTGACTCCAACGAACCAGAACTTTCTGATTGGTCATGCAATCATCAAGGATGAGACGGCTCCAAGTTATTATTGGGTGTTGGAGAAGCTGAGAAACTACATCGGGCCTAATGTTCATCCAGCAGCCATCGTCAGCGACTGTGAGGGAGGTCTCGTTGCCCCCATAGCAGAGTTGTTTCCAGAATCGAACCACTTATTGTGCACATGGCACATCAACAACTGCGTGAAAGTGAAAGCCTACAACCTTTTCAAGAAGAATTTGGAAATGGCAGAGAGATTGATGAATGGTAAGTGGCGGAAGATCCTACAGGCTACCACAGAGGAAGCGTATGAGCGAGCATTGGCTAACTTCAGGGATTCGTACCAGTGGTGTCCGACACTGGTGGACTATGTGATGCAGCAACGGGTCCCTCACAGGGAAAAGTTTGTCAAATATTGGACAAACATGGTACTTCATTTTGGGAACACTACAACATGTAGAGTTGAGAGCGCTCATAGAGCTACCAAGGACTGGATTGATTCATCGACCGCTGCTTTGGTTGGGATACAACATTCGCACAGCGAGCGTAGAGGGTTGGGATGCGCTATATCATGACCGGATCCACGAATGGAACACCCTAGCTGCATTTTAGTTTTTCATGTTTACATTCTTTATTTGTAATCTTATTTGTACGTTGCTCTTTTAATGAGAACATTAATCTTTTATATTGTATTGCTTACTACATTCTATATGTTGCATGGGTAAGTTGCGCGGATCCACGAACGGTTATATCAAAATTTAAAAACAGCAATGATAATATGTTTAAGTTGGAAGCTAAAAGAACAATCTAAAATGTTACAAACTTACAACATAATGTCCAATTTAATAAATATAATATAAGACATACCGCTTCCATGGCAGTAGGCGGTGGCACATAATCATCATTGATGTGGTCGAGATCTGCGATCAACCTCGGGTGCGAATACCGGTTGAACCATTCCATGTAGTAATGGTCACACATGGGAGGAACCCCAGAGGGCGGCCGCTGCAACTCCGCAGTCCATAAGCGGGCCACCATCGGAAACTGGTCCCACGTCCCGGTCATGATATCCGGCCATTGCACGACGTAGTCCCTCGACGATGCAGGTCGGACCGCCTTCATCGGGCATGCCGGGGGAGGAGGGACAACTTGGACAAATCCAAGCTGGCGAAGACAACGCTGGGGCATGTACGCCTCGACGATCTCACGATACTGAATGAGTCCCGTGTACAGGGTCCTGGGTACCCTAACACTAGGGTTCGGGCCGAAAGGCATCCAGTTTACCTGCACATAGTTTTAAAATTTAATAACATGAATATAATATGTGCAAATAATAAAATGTAGAAACAATTTATAAACGTTACCTCTAAGGGGGACAGCCTGTCCAGCAATAACCGTATCGATCGGAGGCGGTCAACGGACTTCTTCTCCGAGCGCGGAATCCACGCACAAGCACGCGGCATCCCCTCATCAATAGGAACTGGGTCACGATGTGGTCGCAATGCAGGAAAGTACTCGTATATCCAGGTCTGCAATAGAGTCAGACACCCAGTGATACCTGCCGCGTCAGCCCGACTCGCAAATCCTAGTTGGCGATACAAATACGCCAACGTAGCCGATCCCCAGGAAAACTGGCCTACACTGTCGGGGTCACACGCCTCTACTATGTCGCGTGGCCTGAGCTTATTTCCGCCGCTCTTATCCGGAAACAAAGTACATCCGAGGAGTAGAAAAACATAAGCACTCAGCTGTGCGTGTGCGTCCTACGTGCACTGGGGTACAAACACCGCTGCAACACGGATGCGATCTTCACACCTCCGTGTTCCCAAACACCTAGCGCCTCGGTGTACAGTGCAGCCCTGTCCACCGCCAACAACTCCGCCAGAAAATCTGCCTAATCCGCATCAGCCACAGCACAAAGTCGTTTACCCTCAACACGAATCCCCAGAATGGCCTCGACGTCATGTAACATGATCGTCATCTCACCGAACGGAAGGTGGAAAGAGTTTGTATCCGGCTGCCATCGCTCAATGAAAGCCGTGATCAGCGTACTGTCAATCTTATCGTGCATGGTGGCAGGAACGTGATTCACCCCAGTGCCCTCCAGTCGCTCGAACATCTCGCTCTCCGCCGGCCAAGCCTCAGCCCATGTACACAAAAAGCTACAAGTCTTTTCCCGGGTATGACATTTCAACAACCCCGTAACTGAAGGCCTCTCCTGGTCCTCCCAAATACGGGCAGCTATGTGTCCTAGAAAGCTAGGAATTACACTCCCGTCAACAGGCCCACCGGGCACCTCACTCCTAACAACCCAAGAATCATTACCGGCCCTCCACCGTTTCCTGCTTGCCCCAGATACAGTGGACGCAGATGATGTGCCAGATCTACTAACAAACCTACCACCCCTACCCTTACGCACCTCCACCATATGTGTCTCGTACATGTCATCAACCCTCTGACTGAATGGACCGTAATCATCATACGGTCCACTGCCATCGTCCACATCCTCATCCTCATCTGCGCCCTCCTCCTGCTCCTCCTCCTGGTCACCCTCCTCAGCATCATCATCGTCATCGTCATCCTCATCCCGACGGTGGATCCGTTCTCTACGAGCTTAGGCCGAAATACCACGGGATCTGACATGTCTATGCCCCGACCTCTCCACTGAATAGCTTCTACTAAGAAGCTCTACATTCTTCCCCGCACCATGACGACCCAGTGAATTATACACAAAATTTTAAAATATATAAACATACAAAAATTTATACGAAAAATAGCTACCACTACCCAAATCAAATAAACTAAAAACATACTAACAAATTAACATAATAAAGAAATTAACAAAACAATTAAATAAAAATAATAGAATAAAAAATACACTTAAAAAGGAAATAAAACCAACACAGAAGAATATATATAAACATAAATAATTCATTCCCAATTAAAATAAATTAACTAACCAAAAACAATATCAATAATAAAATTTAAAATAAATTAACTAACCAAAAACAATATCAATGTCACAAAAAAAATATAAAACAAATCAAAATAGAGAATAAAAATAAAAATGTACAAAAAAAACAAACAAATAATTGTAAACAAAATATAAACATAGAAAAAATACAACAAAATTGAAAAAATTTATTAAAATAAACAACAAAATATAAAAATAATTCAAAAAGATATTACACAAAAAAACAAAAAAAAAATAAAAACAATATTTTAAAACAAATATAAAAAAGAAAAAAAAAAAGGGGGGGGGGGCGCCTTGGCTGGACGCCCAGCCAGCGGTGGTGGCGCCAGCTGCAGACGCCGCCACCAGTGGGCTGGCGCCTGGGCTGGACGCTACAGCCACGGCTGCGGCGCCTTGAATAAACGCCACAACCGTGGCTATGGCGTCCAGTCCAGGCGCCAGCCTACTGGTGGCGGCGTCTGCAGCTAGCGCCACCACCGCTGGTTGGGCGTCCAGCCAGGGCGCCCCACCTCCGTCACGGCGGTTTTCCCTTTTTTTTTTTTTTTTTTTTTTTTTTTACAAATTGTACCTTGCCTCCTTGGGACCTCCTTCCCTCCGCCGCCGCCGCCAATTCCTTGCCTTGCCGCCTCGACATTGCCGTTGTTTGAATTTTTTTTTTTTAGAGAGGTTGAAAGAAGATGAGCGATGAGAGTGTGAGTGTTTTTTTTTAGGTCAAGGGCAATATTGTCAAACCAAGTGAATTTTGTGGGCTTTATATAGTAATTTGTGGGCGATGTTTAACAAATCCCAAAAATAAAGTATTCATGGTTTCCACTTTCCACTATTATCCTTGTCCAATTGTCCATGTTATTGAAATCCCAAGCCGATGAACAACTAAAAGGAAAGGATGCTAAAATAGGGCCATTTTGTAATTTTTAAAGAAATTACCATTGAAAACTTAGTTATTTTTTATTTATTTTTTTTTTTAAAAAAAAAAAAAAAAAAAAAAAAAAAAAAAAAAAAAAAACTCTAAACAAGTAAATCAATTGAGAACCATGAGTTAACAAAGTCGTCTATCTATCTACATGTTTTGTCATAACTCATACGAAGTAAGTCACAAAATACTTGCAATTACTCTACTTTTATTCCCTTCACTTTTTTTTGTTTTTTTTTTAAAAGGGCCAGAAATACGTTGTATCTCCTTCACTTGAAATTACATGACAGAAAAAAACACACACAGCTCAAACTAAGAAGAAGATAATGGGTGGTAGACCAACAAGTTTAGCCTCTAATTCTGACACTTTAAACTTTGCTTCACCAACGACTTCTTCTTCTTCTGTTGATTCTGTTTTCGGTTCGGTTCCTACTCGACTCGAAGTTGAATATGCAATTACAGCCTTTCAAAGGTATGGAATATATTTGGATTTTGGACCGACCTTTTTTGTACATAATATTTAGTTGCCTTCACCTAGTTCTCAAGGTTTGTTGCTTGCTGTGATTTTTGAGTGAAATTAATCATCCAATTACTGAAATATGCATGAGATATTGAGACATAAGCAATTACAAAAATGGGATATTGAAATTCTAAAGAACCCCTCTAAAGTAAGATATTAAGATGAGTTTTACAAGATTAAACAGAACATACAGGTAGTCTGATCAAATTCCCTTCAAACTTTCAGTTTCATGATGCAAGGGCTTTCTTCATCGATGTCGATATTAGATCGTCTTCAGCCTATCTTGAACCATGATCAACTGCAGTCTACTGGATTTCAGAGGGTTTATGATGCCTTTCTCTTACTACAGACAGTTCCATATGTTCAAGTAAGTTAACTGATTAATTTGTTCTGCCTTTAGCAATTAGCATCATCCCCTAATGTGTAGAGTACGGAGTAATTTACAACTCGTAACTTAAAAACAAAGGAAGAGAAGAAAAACAAATGAGTAAAACATCTTTGTTGTGTGCAGAGAATGGTGGTTTCGATATCATCTGATAAAGCTGTGTGGGATGCTGTAATAAACAATAACGAAGTTCAGGAGTTCCGTCAGTCAGTCAATCAAGGTACATTTCAGATACTTTGTACGAAGTACTTCATGATATTGATTAACACTGCACTTATTTAGAATTTTTCTTTACTGATTAACTGAAGAATTGCCGATGCAGCAAAATCAAGCAGACATCAGAGGTCTGATGAAGAACCTGCCTTGGTTTCAATGATTTTAAAGTGGATTTTGGACAACATGAAGCTAAAAGTTTTGCAACTGATTGAGTCGTTGAAGTCTGTAGTCAGCAAGAGCTTCGAGTCTTCCCAAAACAAGAACACAACAAACCCTGAATTGAAACATGGGTTCGAGGAGATGATTGTTTCGACTGTACTTCTCTCTACCATTACTCTCATGATTGTGCTTGTAACTCGTGCCTATGGAGCATAATCGTGATTAACCCTGGTTAGTTTGGGCTTATTAACATGTGCATATTTTAAGTATTGTAATCAACCTATTCAAGCCTCTTGAAAAATCTGCATAGATCTTGGCTCCCCGGCTCTTAAAAATAATTCCGGTTGATTGCTTAACCATTAGGCACCTAACAAAGGCGAAGATTGGATAGTACCCTGAACCCAAGTTTTTGCTCATTATGTTACTTTAGGTAATCCGGTAACCTATAGTTTCCTAACTAATTAGGCATATAATTTTTCGTCGAATAATGCTATGGGAATTATCTGTAGTAGTCTGTATAAAACCTTGTAAAATTGCATACAGTTTAGTTAACAAGTAAAGTGCGTCAAGAAGTAAAAAAAAAAAAAGTTGTAAATCAATGTCTTGCAGTTACTGTCTGTTGTCTGAATTCGAATCACTGAATGCCTTTTGCAATGATCTAGAATCACAGATCAGTAAAGCTTAATGTACATTGTTTAATCAGATGGCTCAATAGAGTATAAATCCAATCGACGACTTGACATGAGTACATGACTGTAAGTCGACACAATTGCAACTTGCCAATTCAAAACACCGCCTCCTAGACTTCTGATTTACGGCCTCTTAGTCAGTAATCAGGTCTCATGGTGCAACAGCATCAGGGGAAAGGCAGAGCTAGTATTTGGCTATTTGGGACAACAGTACAAGATATAAATGGGTTGACTGAAGAATGAAAACATAAAAGAACTCTCTTCGTCTCAAATTAGTACTAGGGTTAGGAATAAGTTATATTTTGAGACAATTATGGCAGATAACTATATTCCATCAAAATTCTCACAAACTAGTTTGCTTATATTCTATTTTTGGCAGAAATGAAAGCAGCTGAGTAGACCTGTGTAACGGTGTATGACCGATCTTACACTCATTTTAATGTAAGACGTTTAAAATTAACCCCGAAAAAGATAGAATCCAGAAAACATCTCCCTCTACCTGTCTCATAATACACACTCTGTACTAAATTAAGCACAAATTCACCACCTTTCCTCAGCATTTTCACCTTTTCTCTCTTTCTACGAAGGGTCGTGGAATCAGACGTGGTTAGACTGATTTCCATAGCCTACTTCCTCACAAGCTTCCTCGTCGTATAAAAAATTGGTACGGAGTACTTGTGATGGCAAATCAAATTTCTTTCTTTTCGTCATGATGCATAAGGATGCTTTAAGCCGAAAGCTACTAAACCCAACTTCATTAAAATAATCAGCTGCTTTAACTTTTGCGTTTGGAAAATTTATACTTTCATATTTTCTGAATGAATCCATTAAACAATTCGATATTTTCGATTTATATACCAGCCATTATGGTATAGACTAAGGAACAAGGATACAAAAAACTAAGAAATAAGAAATTTCTCCTCTCTATATACTTCACTGAATACACAAATTGCCCGTTACAAATATGTCAATCTTCTCCAAAATTTTTACATTTTCTGTTATCTCAAAAGATAAAATGGAACAAGAAACTGGTAAAACAAATTCTAATTCGTCTTTAACATCAACTGTAGCTAACAGAAATGAGATTGAAGGTCAAATATCAACTGATAAGTTTTGTATCAATTCTGTTTTTGGGTCCGTTCCCACTCGAGCTGAGGCTGATTACTCCATGACAGCCATCCAAAGGTATGAACAGCAAAGCATTAGGACCTAATCTCTTCTTACTTGGTTTGCTACTATTTCTTTCCTCTACTTCAAAGCCTACTTTGTATTGTTGGGGGAAATTAGAATCGAATCATAAGATCCTAAGAAACATATACACGGGTGCTTTCACTGACCTGATCTACTGATTTCCCTTCAAATTTCAGTTTTATGAACCTTGAATGTCCAAGAATGTTGGTGGAGAATCCTGAATTTCAACTGGTAAATGCTGCTTTCCAGTTCATGAAAACACCAGTGGTTCAGGTAACTCTATTTTATAAAAACTTACAAACTAGTGATCAACCAAAAAGATGATCTCAATCTTCTTTCTGCATGCAGGAAATGGTAAAATCAGTAATGTGTGACACAGGCATCATTACTGCTATGTTGAATAACAGCGCGGTTCAGGGGTTCTTAAGATCTCTAATGCTAGGTAATACAGCGATAAGGTTAACAAACGGCACCACTAACACAGCTGCAGCACTAGCAGCAGACAACTCTCAGAGCGAACACAGTTTGGTTTCAATGGTTTTGAGCTGGCTGTTGAAGAACATTGGGAGTGGACTTCAAGGAATTTTTGGTACTCTAAGGTTACTAGTTGATAATACTATAGAGTCCCTTCAAACTGAGAACATAGGCTCTGGTTCCAATCCCGGGAAAGTCATTCACTTGACTCTGTTTCTCTCTGTCATCAATCTCTCGATTGTGTTTGTGAGGCGCGCCTTAAATCAAAGGGTTATGGTTTAACGGTTTTCAGATGTACAAGTGTACAACAGTGTTGTGTCCATTTGATGATTCACATTTTTCCTTTGATTACTGGTTTGTGTCCTCAAGAACTATAGCAGTATTATCACAATAATGTACCCTCCCAAGTAGTATCACTGTTTTATTAATGGTTTGTTGCATAAACTGGTAAGTTTCTTACACTGTAATAGAGAAGCTTACTGGCTTTCTCAAAGTTTTAGTGTGGTTTCTTTTTATATTACGCAGTATAAAAATTCTACCAGTAGTCGTTTAATTATGAAATATCCTTCTATGTTTGATACACTTTACATGTCATATTGCAACCACTTAAAAGCTTGAGAATTTCTGCAATGGTGGTGTTTCACTGGCTGCCATTAGTTGCCACCAATCGGCAGTGTCGATGACAACCATCACTTATTCTTCACTCTCCCTCCTATAGTCCTATTGTCTTTCTTCTCTAATCTCTCTAGCTAAGTCCATGCCCTTTATCCTTTTTCTTATACAGTTGTCCTCCCCACCCCCAATCTCCCTTTCTCTATGCGCTCTGTCGAACTAACTGGTGTGTTCCCGGTTATCACAACGTGCTACAGTGCATTACTACAAGGATGATTAATAGAGAACTATACATTACAAGTTACAAGTGCGAGGACAGATAAAAGAGATTTCAGAAGAGGTAAAAACTGTGAATATAGACTTCTAGCAACTCAAGTGCTTATAAACTCATCAAAGATGGTGATAGTCATGAGGAAAAAGAGAGGAGAATTTATTTTTCATTTTGAACTTCACTGTTACATTAGCACTTAACTGGAACTTAGCAAAAGGGATATCATACATAATACGAGTACATACGGAGTAATTATCAAAAAATGTCAACCTACCATATATAGAAATATAGAATTGTCAAAACTAGAAGATGAGGTAACCACTCTCCATTTGATTGAGTACCAATTCAGTCCAGAACATGAGATTACAAAATATTAAGCACAAGGTTGAAAAGTTTGCAATTTTAACCGATATTTACCTCATTCCACATTGGATTAGACTATATAATTAACAGAACAAATTGGCTGGATTGAATCCTCTGTCATGCATGACTTGAACAGGTCTCAGTGATCTGAACGGCAAACGCTTTACAAGCTTCTCTAGGGAAACCCCTGGCAATTAGTAAGTAAAAGAGAACACCAAACTTGAGAAGTTAAGTGCTCCTATCTAGGAAGACTCCAAAATTTAACCCCACAATCTTGGGGCCACTAGCTCACGGTCAGCAGCTGAACCTTCACTTGCAAGATTCTGGATGCGAAATGAAAACTCTTCTGCCTAAAATGATGAGAAGATATAAGCAATCAATAATAATCACACTTGCATGTAATGAACAGCTAATATGCATGCACAAAATTAAGCACAATAAGAAAAGTATCTTGACTCATATCCACCACTTATTATTCCTATTCTATTTTTAATTCTGGAGCGCAATCATAAGTTTTGGAATGGGTGGAGAGCGCTGTGTATCTAGCATGTAGTACATCTCTAGCAAAAGTATGCATATAGTGTTATGAAGCTAAGCAGCCAAATCATCTTAAATCCTAAATATATCCTCGGAGTAGAGGTTCACATTTCTGCCCTGATTATGTAAATCAATAGCACTAGGTAGAAGTGCAGCTAAAACACTTAACATTCCTGAAACCAACTTTCCATAAAAACTTGGTGCTAGAAACCTTTTTTTTTTTTTTTTTTTTTTTGGGGGGGGGGGGGGCAGAAAAGGAAAATAAAATTCTCATTACACGTGAAATATAAGATATTTTGAGGTTTAGTAAACAGCAGTGTCACTGCAAAGATCGTAAACAATTATGTCACAGTATATATTTTAAAGCATGACCTCCGCCAAACAACCTTTGCCAGATAAATTGAAACTGAGAAAGGAGGCTACAATTTACTAACCTTTTCATCAATCCACATCAGAGAACTCAATTGATTATTCAAGATCCTCACCACCACGTCTAATGGACTCATTCCTTCAGTTGTATCAAGTTCTCCACCCTACATAGCAAAAATTAATGTATACAGTTTCCGGATAAAAAAGTAAGAAACTAGTAAAACTAACATGGCATGGAATGGAACATATCCATACCTGACTAGCATTCAGGGACTGAATAATTGATTTAATTTGCTCTGTCATGTGTTCTAGCTCCCTTTCAACAGATTCTGCCTGATCATACCTGCGCCACCAACAAGTATTAAAGGCAAGTTCAGTATATTTCAAAGACGCCATCTGACGGTTGTGTGTCACTTGTATCGACAGACTAAGCCCGCAATAATGCCCAAACTTATGTACCAAACACAAAATTGCAGACAAGCAACAAACTCTCCTCTGTAACTTATTGGAGAAATCTGTCACTGCCAGCAAATGATCCTTAGGGCATCACCTCTAATAGAAAAAACACATATTATATCAAATGGTTCCAACCACAACCCTTATGGCCATTAAGTAACCCCGACAATATTATCGAATTTTGTCAGCACTCCCTATCAAGCCAGGCCCCGATTGAATTACAACTTGCAAGGTGTAAGTAGGATTTGAAAAGGGATCAGATGGCAAATGCTGACCCCAGCCAATCCTGGAGCCCAGGAGCTGAGATAACTTCTAATTGGCATTTTTCACCTAGGAAAGGATGAAATAGACACACAAAAAGGACCAATAACACCAAGTACTTACATTGCATCTCTGGTGGATGCAGCTTCACCATCTAGAAGCAAATTTCGTTCATCCTTGTAGATACGCTCGGCTTCTTCTTCAATACTTTCCAAAGCTTTATCAACCTTGAAAGAGTCCAAAACACAAAGTAACATAAGAGCAAACAAAGTTGGGTTTAGTCATTAGAGTTTAGGGCAATGATATGATACAGTTCCATAAGCAACACAATAGTGGAGTTTCAAAAAATAAAAGAGAATAAAATTTACCCTGACACAAATTTGCACTTCAAAGAAATATATATAAGAGAAATCAGTAGCTGACGGTGGAAAAATGCATACGTACAGCTTTGTATGCATTTCACAGATAGTTATAATCCGTACATAATATAACATCCCCGGCTCCCCGCAGACTTGTAATCAGCCACACAGAATTTAATGAGCCAAAGCTCAACTTTCTGTAGGTCTCAGCCGTCTCACTGTGAATCTTTAACAGGTGAACTTAAAAAGACACCCCCCCACACACACACACACACACACCCAAGTGCACAAATCCCACCCACACCCCTTTATAAAGAGAATGCCACCATTGGATACAAAAAAAAAAAAGTTTGTTTTAGCAGTTTGAAGGGTTGCACTGGGGATGGAGACAAACAGAATTCTGCAGCTAAAGTTAAGTTCAAGAATGGCTCTTCTGCTGATGTGCCAGGTTTGGCTCGAATTTAGATTATTCTTTAAAAGCCAAACTCGACCATGATTTTAAAGTTTGTAACAAGTTCAAGAAAGTCAAGATTGATAATAAAGTTTTATCAAACCAAGCACACAGATGTCACAGTGTGGTTTGGCTCAGCTCGTGGCGAGCCATAAGCTAAACTGTAATTTAATCAAGGTCTTGTGCGCAGAAAAGCATATGAAAAATGCTGAAATTCAGAGTTGACACTTATTCTATTTAAGAAAATCACATATCACAGATTCTCAGGCACACTTGTTAAATTGGCTAGTATGAAGAAAAATTATAGGAAAACATTTGGACCAAAATTATTTCCTACCTAAGAACTTATCAAATCCAGCAGTAAACAATGAAGCCAACCTTGAGAATTAAAACCAAACCAAGCTCCAAGGACATCAATATCTATGAGTTAAACCCTCTCCAATAGTAACTGTGTCTAGTCCATACATTGGTGTTAAAAAAAATGGACACTGAGAAGCGCCAAAGACCAATGCTTCAATCACCATGCTGCCTTACAGAGTGACAGCACAAGACAGACTCATTGCTCTTTATCACTTCCAAGACACCATGTAAGGAATCAATATTTGGGAGAAGGGCATATTAGTCATAGTCTATTATTAGTGACTTGGGGAATAAGCTAGAGTTTGTTAGAAGAGTCTTTCTATATATAGACCTCATTAGGAGGAATAATCATCATGTTGAATATTGTTGAGAAGTCTGTTATTGACTTGTTGGAGAGCACCTTCCTCTCGAAAGAAGGCATTGTATTGTTGAACAATCAGTTTGATAATACAACTTATCCCTCTTAGCTATCCTTTCCTATCTAATTAGCTTGCTTACTTACTGTTTGGGAGCTAATTCCTAGCACACCATCATAGAAAATCAAATGTAATTGATAGAAAAGCAAGAGATTCTAGCCAAAACAAAGAAAATCTGCAATTTAAACTACTAACACTGCATTATACTCTGTGCAGAGCCAGAGCATTGTCACAAAATTATATATAGCACAAAGTTGAAAATAACTACCTCTTGTTGATGAGTCTCGATTAACTCCAGCTGTCTTTCCAAATTGGATTGGGTCTCAACCACTTTTGCTACTTCGGTCTGATCCGTGATGAAAGTACATCAAGATTGAAAAAAAAAAAAAGACAGGATTAGAGTACAGATAAGCAACGGAGCAACTCAACAAAAAAAAACCTATATGCACTCATCATACATATCTCTGAGAAACCATTATAGATAGAAATAAGATCATCCTGATTTTTTTTTATTAAAAAGGACTCCTAGTCACACGCTCACTCCTGCCTTCCAGCATGCCTTACTTCCATGGTTCTAGAGCCAATCTATAGTGCCCAATGAAACAGAGTTCTGCTCCAGACATATTCCAGATTTCCAGGTACTAGCCTCTTTCGCCACTCGAAAAAGGATTAGAAAGCTCGATTTTACCAATTAAGATCATCATGTCTTTCTTAAGAGGATGCCATGTTCTCCAACTCTCCCCTCCACCTCATTACATCCTTCTCTTATTTACTAAGATCTCTTTAAAACAAAACAAGTCCATCCACATTCCCATTAATTATCACATCATATTAACAGATACACATATGCGCTCGCTCGCTCGCACGCACGCTCAATTAGATCATCAAAAGAAACAAAAAATTCCCATGTACACACATAAAATAAAAGACAATGGTTTAACTCATTCAAGCTCCCAAAATAACATTAGACGAGCAGACCAATGCATAGGGATTACTGAATTAGAAAAGGCAGGAGAAAATTCAAAAAAAATACCTCAAGTCGTAGAAGTACATCTCGGTTTTGCAAGATTCTTTTGTCCCAATCAGCAACTGCATTAGCCTGCTTCTGGAATTTTCTAGTACGGTCTTGTAAATCAGAGTTCCACTCCTTGATGATCTTCCAGCCAGAAAGTCCATAGAAAAGCCACATGGATTTTTTATTTTTTTTTCAGATAACAAGGGGAAGTCCAGCTCGTACAAGATAACATTATAGAAAAAAATGCGACTAAAAAATGCTGTCAGCATGTTTCCATGTTATAGAAAAATTAAAGTACCTCTTCAACAGTTTTTCCAGTGATCTCAGACGGCAACTTGGGGATGGGAGCAGATGTTACAGGGGTACTCACGGCAGAGGTAGTTCTACATAAAAGAGAGAACATGAGCACATGTAAGATAAAACCCCACAAAAGTAAATTTTGATGTCAGTACAATGAGTCTATTGGCACATAGAAAAATTTAATTTTCTCGTGGTGGAATGAAAGAGAAGGGAAGATAGAAGTGTTCAGAATCCACAATATACATCAATTTATTGCTATACCAGCAAAAGAGATAGAAGCAGAAATTTCTTAATGAATAAACTTCACTTGCAAATCAGGATGGTGCTAAACAATGCTAATCACATTGACAAAGGTAGCCAATATTGCTTCATTGCAATAATTAAGCCAATAATCTAACCACAATCTAGAAAGACCTTTAAAATATCATTGTTGGCACTCAAAGAGAGTAAGATTGCCAAATGAACAGAGAGATAAAAACTTCAATTATAGGAAATTCTGTATCATTGATTTTGATCTACACAAATAAAAGGCACTAACCCACTACTTGAGGCTACAGCAACAACAGAAGATGTTTGTACAGCAGTTGTTGTAGAGCTGGAGATGGCCGCTGAGACAGAAGATGTAGCCAGGAAGCCTAAAACAAGACTCATTAGACCACTTAACAATTTCTCAAGGATCATGGAATATGGAAACAAAATAGAAAACAAATCTCTCATCGAATGAGACAAGCTTCACGATGTAGTTGGTTCATAACCCAAATAACAAATACTTATAAAAACAACAATTATAAAAGGTAGCAGTGCCAAGATCCCTCGACAGAAAAAGGCTCTTAACACTTTGGATGCAATCACAATAGCAAATAAATATCATGTGTGCTTTGAAGTAAAGAGCCACTGCTTTACACTACGGAGCTAGTATATTCTAGCAAGATCATCACACAAAGCATATCACACTAGACTACTCTCTACTTCAACTTTACTTCATTTTTCTTTTACCGACATATGTTCCTCAGAGAGATTTAGATCGTTTTAAAGGATTGCAAAATTTGGATGCTTTCTTCTCAAGATCTTGAAACTTTCTCAAGGCATTAGAATTTCAATGATTATCTAGCTAAAACCAATTGTAATAGCCACTTCTTCCATGAACTCCAGAGACTCATTCAGATTCGAGCTCAACCTAGATTGGTCAGAACAGAAACTGATTGGTTTTTGGTTTTTTTTTTTTTTTGCTCTACTTATTCCTTCTTACAATTCCAACAAACCCCCTAATTGTACTACCTATAAATAACATAACAGTATAATATCTGATTAAAATCTCATGTGTCGGATTGGATACACAGGGAAACTATACCATAGTTCAACATTGTACTATATATTAGAAATATCATGGAAATGCAACAAGAACAAGTCCCTTTTACTCCCCAACATTAGCAATAACAAAACCAAACATCATGAAATCCGAGTAATTCTTACTTCTCTGCATATTAGCATCAATTCAGAAATCAATCAATTAAATGGCACAAAATTTAGCAAAGCTCACCAGTAGCAGTGCTAGCAGCAGCAGTACTGGTAGTAATAGTAGAAGCAGTTTGCTGAGGCTGAGATTGAGAAGACAAAGCTGGGGTAGTAGCCTTAGTTGCAGGAATAGTAAAACTCGGAAACGAAGCAGTAGCATTGCTCAAGGAAGAAGACCCGGATGAGACCCCAAAACCAGTAAACGCAGTTGCTGCTGGAGAAGCCGCAGCCGAAGCTGCTGGTGTCGCCACAGTTGATGAATTCAGTGAAAACCCAGTGACTGCAGATGAAGCAGTTGATGCAGCAGCAGCAGGTTGAGCTGATGAATTCAGTGAAAACCCAGTGAATGCAGATGGGGCAGTTGATGTAGCAGCAGCAGCAGCAGGTTGAGTTGATGCAGCAGGTGTTGTAGTTGCAGCAGCAAAGGGAGAAGAAGGTGTTGTAGTAGCAGCAGTGGCAGCAGATGGAGGAGTAGTAGGGGTGGCAGTAGCACCAAAGAGCGGCTTCGAAGCCGAGGCGGCGGCGGCATTGTTGAAATTGAACAATGACGATGATGTATTGGTACTAGCAGCAGAAGAAGAAGCCGATGGCGTAAAGGAAAACGCTGGAGAAAGCGATGCAGCAGTTGTGGTTGCGGTTGGTGCTGCTGTTGCTGTTTGAGTAGGCGATTTCAAGAATGAAAATGCACCTGTAGAAGTAGCAGCTGATGAAGAAGAAGCAGACCCAAATAGAGAAGATGGTGCAGCAGCAGATGAAGAAGAAGCCGACCCAAATAGAGAAGATGGTGCAGCAGAAGCTGACCCAAATAGAGAAGATGGCGCAGCAGCAGAGGAAGAAGAAGCTGACCCAAATAGGGAAGATGGTGCAGCAGAAGAGGAAGAAGCAGACGCAAAGAAAGACGACGGTGCAGCCGAAGAAGAAGCAGCAGACGCAAACAAGGACGATGGTATTGAAGCGGAGGAGGTGGTTGAAGCGGTGGCAGGAGAGAAAGAGAAGGCGGGAGCCGCAGCGGAGGATCCGAACCCGAATGAAGGAGTGGGGGAAGACCCGAAAGCGAGTGATGGGGCGGAGGAGGAGGAGGAAGGTGTAGCAGAGGAAGCAACCCCAAATGCGGGAGTGGAGGATCCGAACCCGAATGAAGGGGTAGCGGAGGAGGAAGAAGCGGCGCCGAAACTGAGTGATGGGGCGGCGGCGGAGGAGGCGGAGAATCCGGCGAAGGAGGGGGTGGAAGAGGCGCTGAAGGGGGAAGGGGAGGGGGCGGCTGATGAGGTAGGGTTAGCGGCGAAGGGAGAGGGGGAAGGGGAGAGAGAAAATGGGGAAGGAGAGGAAGAAGAAGAGGAAGAGGTTGAAGAAGTGTTGGTGAAGGAGAAACCAGTGAATCCCGCCATTGATGGTTGTTCAAGCTTTTTCTGTTTCAATGGAGATTGGAGAATGTGAGTTGGGTTTTGCGGGGGGAGGGAATTTCAGGGTTTTGATTTTAGAGCTTTGGACAGCGGTGCTCCGACGGTTTTTTTTTTTTTTTTTAAGAGCCACAAAGGCGGAGTTGAGTATTGATCCCAACGCTTAAAATTAGGAAGAAACTCTGATCATTTGAGCTATTCCTTGCTTACAGGGTGTTTGGTATGTAGGAATGGGATTAAGGATTATTAGTCCCAAGTTTTCATAAACCCATATTTGTAGGGGTGAAAGTAGTTTGGATAAAAACCAAAAACCGATCCAAACCGAACCAAACTAGAAATTCGATTCGGTTTTCGGTTTGGATTCGGTTCCAAAAACCTGAAACCGAATTATTTCGGTTTGGATTCGGTTTTGGATCCTAAAAAACCGAAAACCGAAATCCAAACCGAAATGTTTAAGCCCATATAGATTCCCAGCCCAATTCCCCTACATATATATAGCAAACCCTAATATCCTCCTTCATTTTTTCTGATTTTCGCCCACCTTCATTCCTCAGTTCCTCTACTTCCTCACCAAAACCCTTCATTTCCTCACTTCCTCCCTCATCACCTCACTCCGGCCACCGTATCTCACCACAATATCTCACTCCGGCCACCATACCTCAATTCTTTCCTTCAGTTTCAGTGTCTCCTTGTTCCAATCTTAGTTCCTTTCTTTAGATCTGGTGTTCGTAGACTTCGTACTCCCTCAAATCCGCGACGCGCCACCACCTTGTCAATTTCATCACTCACCACCACCTCCCTCACAACCGCAACAGTCTGTCACGGCCCCTTACCACCGCTCGTCCGCCGTTCTACTCTCACTACAGCACTCAAAGGTAAGAGATCGAATTAATTTGCTTATGTTTAGAATTTGCTTGAATTTCGATTAAATTTCTCCAATTTCCTTAAATATTTTCGGGTAATTGCTATTTATTGACTTGAATTAATTAATCTGGTTATGTAGCTAAATTGTGTTTGCTAGTTGCTACTTTGTTTGAATTTGGCCTAATTAATCATGAAGTGTTGTTGATTAATTTGGGTCTAGTTGATTGGAAATTATGATTGATTTTCTATGGATTTTTTAGCCCCTCGATTTGCATGTTGTAGTTGATTTTATATTTATGTTTTTATAATTTCTTTTTATATATATATATATGGATTTGTTCATTTGGAACCTGCATGTAATAGTAATAAATTTTTTGATTGAATTTGTTATTTTTCTTGGTTTTTTTGTTGTTGTACAGGAAGTTGAGGAGCTTGGAGCTGCCAAGTTAATTGAAGGCTTGAAGTTTCCATGTTTACTGTTATTAAATTTTAAGTCCTTTCTTATGTTTGTAACTTAATTTTAATGGCTGAACATTTTTTTTTTTAATTATGTTTATTTCTTAAATTTGGCCAATATCAAGCCTCAAGACATATTATATTATTATGGACTGAATTTTTTAAAAAGAAACTTATTATGGACTGGACTATATTTAGGCCCAAAATAACAGGCCCAAAAAAAATTCGGTTCGGTTTGGATTCAATTTCCAAAACCGAATTATTTCGGTTTGGATTGGATTGGATTGAATCCAAATTCGGTTTGGATTCGGTTTCATAAATCTGAAACTGAATTAATTCGGTTTGGATTTTCGGTTTGGTATAAAATCCAAACCGAATACTGAACTTTCACCCCTACATATTTGTTGGATGGAAATTAGATTAAAGAATTCTCTATTTAAGTAACCCTTAATTTAGTAATGTATAATTGTGTATTTAATTTTGAGATTGCAACATCAAGGGTTAAGATTACAGGGTTTGGGTTTAGGTTTAAAGGGGAAATATCATATGTCTTACTTTTTGTGTTCCATTTGTGTTCTACTCATTTTAATTGGTTGTCATAATATTTTTTGGCCTATTAAATTTTGAAAAGTGAATTCTTGTTATTATGACAACATGATTTAAACTAGGGTTTAGGGTTTAGCAATTAAGGTTTGGGTTTAGGGTTTAGGATTCATTTGTCTATTATTTGTTGGGACCATTGGACGCAAATTAATGAGATTGTAAATAATCTATTTATGAATACTCCTTATAATATACAACAAGTGTATCATACTTACATGAGCAATCTATCTATCTATATATTATACTAAAAGACAATCGCTTTAATGTGAGGACGACAAATGTCACTGTTTACATATTTAGCATAGTTATTTTTATTAAACTTCAAACAATAAAAGCAAGTTTCTATACATGCATAAGATTTTCATGATTTCTTAACATAAATATTGATTTAATTTTTTATAATAAATATATACTTTTCAATACTACAAATAATCCATAAAATCTTTTCAATCTTTATTTATAGTTAAGTTAAAGAATAATAACTAATTTGAAGCAATATGATTAAAGTGGCATAATTAAGGAAACAAATATTTCGTATTTTGAAAGGCTAATATTGTTTTTTTTATGAAAATTAAATGAAATCGATAATATTTAGTTTGACGTCAATTATGAAATCAATACAAACATTTTAAAAAAATCAGATGTACAATAATAAAATATTGTGCACCTATTATAAAAGCTTTATTGATAAAAGTTACCCAAAATAATGTAAAAGTTTTTTATACAAAAGTTTTTGATAAAGATACAAAATAGTGTAAAAATTACTTTTATTGTTTGTTGTACTCCTTGACAAATACTGAATGCTGAGTCGAAATGTTGTCATGGAAAAAAATACATAATCTTGAACATAAATTTAATTTTAATCGGCCTTTCATTTTCTATACAATGTCTTTTACAATGACCTTTTGTTTTTCTTGCATAAAAAAAATTAAAAAAAAAAGAACTAATAACCAATCTAAACAAGAGCAATAAAAGTTAAATTGAATTAGACATTTTACGGAAAAGGGATAGATATAAAATGTATTATAACTATTACTCATGTTTTAAATTATAATATTCGTATTAACAATGCAATTACTTATGAATTTTTTTAGAAAAACTAACATTTTGATTTAAAAATCGTGCATTGCTCATGTACTATACTAGATATACAATAATCATGTGCAATAATTTATGTTGTTTTATACAGAATAATACTTTTAACTACAATAGTATGTGTATATAATATAATATTTTTTATAATATAAAAAAGTATACATATATAATATAATATTTTATAACACGTGTCCTTCATACCAAGTGTAGTCCCAATCACCACTACACCAATTGGTTGTTGGTGTAATGGTGATTGTGACTACACTTGGTAGGGAGGACCTGTATGCTCTCCTGCAACAACAATCGGAAGGGGAGTGGAACCTAATAACCTAGAACTGATCCTCAAATCTGGATTAGCCCAAAGGGTGAATCGGATAGAAAACCCAAAACTCAATGCATATATGACGGGAATTAACTTATCCTTTATCTATCTTATACAAAACTCCAAAGTCTATTTTTTTTTTCAAAATATGATAATAACATTTGTAAATTTTTGTTAATATGAAAGATATAAACCTATCAAAATGTATATATAGTTAAATTGTTTAATAACTTATATCGAATGCGTAGTTTTATTAAAATTATTCGCATGTAATCATTAAATGTGTTGGATGTTTGTGTAGCTATGCAATGTCCAAAACTTTAGTTGAGCGACTTTGATTTAGTGATTGTGCGGTAAAAAGATATTGACTTCGATCTTGAAACCTAGTAGAAAAATACAAAAAGGCACCGAGTCATACCCACCGATTTTTAAAAATCGGTGGGGAAAAAATGGGTGGGATTAGGCTTTTTTTAATTGCCACCGGTTTAAACCGAACCGTTGACATATGTTTTAAAGGCCACCGGTTCAAATCGGTGGCAATATAATTAAAAAAAAAATCGCCCCTATATTTTCTTTCACTTTGCGCGTTCTCTCTCTCTTTCCTCCATCTCGTGTTCTCTCTCCTCACTCCTCAACTAGATCTCCCTCTTCTCTCTCTCTTTCCTCTCTCCACCGTGCCGCCGTCCATTCCTCCCGCTTCCCTCTGTTCTTGTTCACGGTGCGTCAGTCGGTCGGTCCTAGCAACGGCGGCAGTGGCGCAAGGAGCTGATACAAACCCACCTCTCGTCGTTTCCCCCTCGCGAAATGATTTTCCCTTAAGGTTCGTGATTTTTTCTTCTTTTCTCTTTAATTAATTTCTTTATTTCGTGATTTTTGAGTTTTTATTTTTCTCAAATTTACAATTTCATGTTTTCGGAAACCAAGGGTTTTCTGATTTTCGATTTTAATTCTATATTACTCCATAGAAATTGTTCCTTTCTTAATTACATGCAGCACCACAATTACTGAATTTTGACAACATTTCATTGTCAGATTTCTTGAAATCATATAGATCTGTGTTTTTGAGCTTTCAAATTACTAATGTGTAGTGGAGCGAACTTGGGTACGGGATTTAACCCGGGTATTGTGGCCATGTGAAGGTTGGGTATGGTGATGAGTTTGATGATGATGAGGTAAAGGATGTCTCTTGATAATTTTTCTGCATTTTCGTGATAATCTGACCCTAATTACAGAAAAAATTGAACTTGATATGGGGCTTATCGATTTTGTCTTTGATATGTATATTCACGTAGGTTTGTTATGTTAAGATTTGATTTATATTTGTGATCAATGTTGAATTTTGGTTTTGTCTATAAATCACTTAATTCTTAAGAAATAGGTATGTAGGAACTCAATTTTGGTCGAACAATTTAATTTTGAAGTACTGCTTTTTGCTCGTGAGATTTGTCAATATTTTGTGTGTATAGTAATTGTTTCTCGCATAGGTTTGCTGTGATGGCTGTGATGTTTGGGAGCATGCTGAGTGTGCTGAAATCTGTGGCAAAAATCTCAAGGTTGGTTCACTCTTTGTTTTTGTTTTATTGACAAGACCTGGTGCTTGTAAAGACTGTTTTTAGAGGATTTATTTGTACATTCTGTTTCTATCTAAGGATTTGGAAGATGCGGAATATTACTGCCCTGATTGCAAGCCAAAGTTTGCATTTGAGCCATCATACTCTGTAGCTCTACCTGAAGTCAACCCAAAGTACGTGTTTACTTCTGTTTGTTGTTACTGTTGCTTTACTTTCATTGTTATCATCATTATTAATATTGTTATGGATAATTTATTATAGATTTACAGCAAATACTTTTATTATTATTACTATTATTGTTGTTTCTGGCATTTATACAACCGATTTTGAGCTCAAACAATTTAGTAAGAGTTACTATTGTATGATACAGACAACCTGTGCCATCCGATGAGGTAACTGTTGCGTGCAATGGTATGGAGGCATCATATATCCCAAGCCTTCACTTGTAAGTTCTAAAGGTTACAAAAATTATATATTATGCTCTTTTAAATTCTTTTTTTACATTTTGCAAACAATCTGCTATTAATTTGATTATCTGTGCTCTTCTTTTTAGGGTTGTGTGTAAGTGTGGTAAATGTGGGACAAGGAAGTAGTCATTAAGTGAATGGGAAAAGCACACTGGTTGTAGAGCCAAGAAATGGAAGCATAGCGTCAAAGTCAAAGGCTCAATGATCCCCTCGCATCAGTGGGTAAGGCAGTCCTTTCTGCTTTAATTTGAATATGTCAAAACATTATGATTATATTGGATTTAGCTAGCATAGTTGTCGTTTGGTGGTCTCCTTGTACAGTGTGATCATACTCAATACTCACGCTGTCGGATTTCTGAATCACTTATGATGAAGGATATGAGATCAGTTAAGTGAAAGACTCTTGATAGTTTTTCATAGTATTTGTTTAAGCAAGGATATGTTTAGTGCAAAATTTTAATGAGATAGATGATATTTATGCAATCTTTGATGAATCTTTGTATTAGAAACACCAAGATCTATCATATATGGATAATATATTAGTAGGAATGATCAGTTGGGAAATGCTATATCTGCATATTAATGCATTAATTGAAGTAAAGTACTCAGATTTTGAATGTTGGTTATAACTGAGTCTAGCAGTAGGTTTGCTGAATTTAAATGACATTTCCAGGTGTTGATACAAAGGACTAGTGTTTTGTAGTCTATTTTTAATATGACTAGAAATAATAGACATTCATTTATTCATTTGCATAGAAACAGAAGATAATCTTTGGGCATGGCTCTCTGCATTTTTTATGTAATGTATTTAGTGGAAACAAAGAAAATCTTTGCTAGTCTATTTACATGAGAGAATGTGTATATGTAAATATGAGGCAAACTTAATATATGACTTCGATTTTTTTCTTTATTCTATGTTATATAAGCCCATTTTCAATGTACAATTAGAAAAGCTCCATTTTGCATATCATGACTTATTATTTACATTTTATAATTCTCTCAGGTAGTTGCATCACATATCTATGCTGATAATCGGGCCCCTATTGAGAAATTAAAAGATGGTGAAGCTCCCCTTTTGACAACTTGCAATCAAAAGCTGCTTATAACTGTACGATGATGGTTGTAGCTCTTATTGGTGTTCACCCAGCGTAAGTATCATGAAAGATTCTATAGAATGTATACACTAAATTTGATCAGAGCAGTAGTTCTATAGAATGTATAAGTATACACTAAATTTGATCAGGTGTCTAGTCATCAAATGAACATAGAATGTTACTTGGACTCCTCACATAAATCAGACTATAAGTTTCTGAGTTACCATACATTTTTAATTCCTGAGGCATGTGCATATATTGTGAATTCTGAGTGCAGTTCTTTCTTTCTCATGTTGCTTGTGACAACTGGTATCTCTCTTTGCAAAATTTATTAAGGGGACTTCACTGAGTACATATAGCCCCCCTCCCCCTCTTTATTATTTTTTTGGTGAAGATCTAGTGAACATATGTACAAAACCAATCTTTGAGTTTTCCTTTGTTCTAAGTTGGCTGGAAGTGGCCTGTGCATGTGGCCTGGTCCTGCCGGAGAGACTCTTGGCACTTGTCCTGTGCTACATTTCTGAAAATCAGCGTAGCAACTTGGTCCTGCCGACTGAGATGCTGCACTATATGCTCTGCTAGAGCTACTGTCACTTCTGCTCTGCCCTACCGAGGCTGTTGTAAATTGTTTATTCCAAATACTGGTTTGATTTGTTTATCTGATTTATGATTTGTTTACTCTGATTTGTGTAGGTTCTTGTTCAAAATGCTATAAGTTGATTGATTGATTGATTGTATTGTCTGGAATTTTACTTCTTCCGTAATAATGAACTTGTAATTTGGTGAAAATATACTGAAGTCTGTCAATTTCAGGAAGAATTAGTCTGGCCAGAATTAGATCAGTTGCTTTGGGATGAGGATGATGAAGTTGGAGGAAGTGGCAAATATCCAAGCAAAGAATTCACCAAATACTACTGTAAGGGCTCACAGTGAAGAAGGTACTGGACAACCTGATAACGGGCTTAATGCTGATTGAGAATTTGCCTAAAAAATCATGTCGTTCATGCCACTTTGTTTTTCGAGGAATATTGTAATTTTACAGCTTTTTTATGAAAAACAATGTAAGTTAATATATATGTAAGTGTTTATATATCATTTTAAGTGAAAAAAATGCAAAAAAAAAATGCAAAAAAAAAAAAAATTATTTTTTTTGGCCATTATTGCCACCGGTTTTGACCAGGAACCGGTGCCAATAACCTCTTTAAAAAAAGCGGGAAGGGTTATTGCCACTGGTTTTGAACCGGTGGCTTTTTATACGATTATTGCCACCCCCCAAATGCCCAGTGGTTCAAAACCGGTGGCATAGGGGGGTTTTGAACTGGTGGCCAATTTATATTTTCGTCTAGTGAATAAATTCTAAATAGAAAAATTAAAACAAAAGGAAATGAAAATAGTAAATGACTTTAAATATTGAAATAAACATAACCTTTTAAATCAATTTAGCGAATTCAAGAGACAATTTTAAGGCATTTAAAATTAAATGAGGGAAAATATATGTAAAAAGAACATTTTAGATATATAAATGTCCATGAACTATTATAAGAGTTTTGTCAACCTTTTTATAATTAAGGTAGGGATAAATCTTAGTAATATATACTCCGTATATTTTATTTATGTAAAATTATTAGTATCTTTACCTATATACGAAGTATTTGTGTCGTATACTATATTTAATCAGCTGTTAGTTATATATATGACTATTATATAATATATAGTTTTTGGCACAATGCTTAACTTAGGAAAATATATGTTCTGGTAGGTCAAATATAAGGTTATTATTGTGTCTATAGATTTAATGAGTGCGACGGGTAAATAAAACATGTATATATTAGATTGATTATAGCTACTAATGCGGATGGTATGATAAGAAAATTTTAGTTTTTTCTCAACGGGAGATATAAATAAATTAGTCCACTTCTTATATAGCTATGTGGAGTATTATTCAATTATTTTTCAATTAATAAAATAACATTATAAAAAATTAAAAGAAATTTAAATAACATAAAATACTATTCAAATAACGTTCCTTTTTTTTTTTTATTGACCATTAGTACAAGTCCTTTAATAGTAAATGAATTACCTTTGTTTTTATTTTTTCTACGGGTTTAATAATTTGATTTATAATCCGTGCATCGCACGGGCACTATGCTAGTATACATAAAATAGGCAAATCACACCCAAATCCCATACAAACCTACCAAAAAAATTGAAACACAAAAATAAGGTTGTTGTTCAAAATCTTATCCCCCGTATCTTGATTCCAACCTACATCATTGTTTAAGAGTCCAAGCACCATGAAAGCCTAAAGGAAAAGTCAACGATTTTGGAACTTCAAATTTTGCAATAACGGCTCTTGCCTCACCAATCCGTTTTGAATCCAAGATCACTAAATTACACATTCGCCGCGAGACCACATACTGCAACATATAAATCATAATTTAGTTTATACTGAGTGGTTTATGATATATTATCAAATACACATGTACTGATTTGAGCTATAATATATGGATTTTTCATGTAACATGAAATTTTTTACATATTATGTAGAAAAGAGTACTCAAAATCTCACCTCTACTACCAGAAGATATCCATTGTCTTCATCACCAAACGATCCTTTGTTGACAAACATTGGCTCCCCAACAAATCGACGAATACCAGGAGCCCATGTACATACTTTTTTAGTTAACTTATCAAGTTTGAGTATTGTTTCAAAGGGAAAATGTGATAATGTTTGATGTGAACCACAAGAAGCTGCTGTATACACAAATCTATGTTTGTAACCACAATATTCCGGATTAATCATTGGAAAATCTGAAGATTTTGCGCGATTGTTTAAACGTGTTATTGAACATTCTCGATGTTTTCTGTTCTTATCTAATTTGATTGTCACCTGTAATAATTTGCAAGAAAAAAAAATATTAGGAACAACTAACTAAAGATTTTGAAATATGCTTACATACTTAGGGCATGTTCGGTAAAATGTAGCTGTGAAGGTAGGTGTAACTGTGGAGATAGCTGTGAGTTGTGGAGAATTGGAGATAGATGTTAGCTGTCAACAAGCTGTTAGCTGTGAAAAAAGATAATTTAGGTATGATTTTTCGGTAAAGTAGTGGTTGACTAGCGGTAAACTATACATTAAATTTTCAAAAGCTACTTCAAAAGCTAATAAAAGCTACCTCCATCACTAAAAGCTACTTGAACCATTACTTTGCCAAACACTCACAATTTTTGTTGAGTAGTGGTTTGACCAAGTCAAACCACTAAAAGCTACCTAAAATCTACTCAAAAGCTAACGCCGAACACGCCCTTAATTATTAGATTGGGTTGTAAAATAAAAACTTAAAAAGTAAGATACTTACCTCAATGAGTTGAGGCAAACGTTGCTCCTTCCCTTCTTTACAGTTCATCATTGAAGGGTCTAATTTATCATTTTGCCAATTGTATCCTATCAAAATTTAATGTAATGACAATGAATATCTATATGTTGAAAGAGTAATTCACTATTTGGTGAAATATAAATATATATATATATATATATATATATATATATATATATATATATATCATATACAAAATAATGGAGCAATTTTCATAAATAATTCTTAAACAAAAATCTATTATGTGCATCTTTTTTTTTTTTTTTTTTTTCATTTGTAATAAAAATATAAATGGCTTACCAAACATCTTTTGAAAGTTGAACCACTTATAAGCACAAGCAGTAGCATGGATTTGAATCCTAAGGTTTCCATCATCATCGACGTTCTCGAATGCATTAGCAACATGTAACAGCCACAGTTGTGGAGCTTCTATAGGTTTTCTCCAGTATTCATCAGAATTACAGTTGGTTGTATTGCTTGAAAATCTAGGAAGGATGTAAATGGAAGATGTTGGCTTTTTATGGTTCACTGAAAGAGCTGATATCATAGGTGCTTTTCCAGATATAGCTGCCATTGTTCCTGTGATATTGTATCAAACACAATGTATGTAAATGATTTTAGCTAGGTAATAAAACATTAAACCTTGTTTCAATGGTTTAACCAATTTTAATCTAATGAAAATTGATTATGATACTCTGGTGTACGTTTTTTCATATAGTTATAGTAATCGTATGTATATTTATGTATTTGATTACCTAATACGTCCAACTTCACGTGATTAGTGAACAATATGTAATGTGTATCGGTAAAAGCCCAATCATGAATCATTGAATGACCGGAAATGTTGAATTCTCTCTTTTGCAATAATTTGAAGTTTGGATCGAATTCTGTCAAAAAAATACAGAGTATAAAATAAAAAGGTCATTAACTCGTTACAAGAATGTTAGTAGCAAATTAATACAATAAATTAATGATCATTAACAGCCTCTTATAAGAAAGATTGTTATTTAACCATCTAAGTCAACTATCAACTATGTTATAAACATGAAAATAAATGCATATAATTGATAATCACAAAGTCTAATTAAAAAAAAAAAGACATTATGAATATCAAATTCATATAATCACAAGGAATAATTAAAGTAGCAACTCGGTGCAATGCCTGGGCAACACATTAGTGATGCATTAAAAATATGTTAGATGTGCAATAAGAATGTACTCCATATATAATTAATAGATCATAATTAAAATGAGTTATCACCAACTATATTTATTGGAGACTTAATTGCTTGGAGTTCATATATATACTAGAAATATGACAAAGTTTAAAATATGCAAGTGAGTGGGAAAATATAATAAACTTTGTATACCATAGAAAGTGTAGTGACTTCTAGGAAGTACCATATCCTCTGCGTTACATGCCATAACGATAAGTCGTTTTCTTTGAGCGTCAACCTTGTAGTGTGATAATAATCTTTTTGATGGCATCTTGAAAATTCCTGCAAATTGAACAAATGATGTTCAAAAAGTGTTAGCAAGAGAAGTAACTTCAATTTGATTCATTAAATCAAACGCATATTTTATATTACGCACCATGGAGTATAGGCTTCAGTATACGGGCAACAACATCCCAAGCATGAGGTCGATCGACACTACCTTCAATGATATTATTATCATCATTGAAAAAATTGAAACTTCCAATTGTATCCAAAGTTTGGGGTTCAATTTCATATGGAGTCCCACCTTCCCACAAACAAAACAAACGTCCACCCCATTTTAAGATGCTAGTATTTGCCACATTTTTCATCACCTTAGTATTTGCAATCATCTTACTACCTTTCAACACAGAAAATGGGCCTCTATGAGTAAACCTCCAAGACCCACTTATTGGGTCACATTCTTCCATTTGGGCCTTAGTTTTAACATACTTAGCTGAGAATCTCACTTCTCCCTTCGGCCCATTAATTTCAAAGGCCCTTAAATACCCGTGACCATCGAGCGGGTGGATATTTGATCCATAATCATCAATGAAGAGGCCCGGCCCAGTAAGATAGTATGTACCTAATGGGAAGTCTTTTGGTAATGCACCTTCAATGAGTTTAAGTTTAATAGGATTTGGTACTTCCAACCTTTGTGACATGAACAAAAATTGGTAGTCCCAAAATGCCACGATCTTCTCGTCGATAATTTCTTGGGTTGAAACTCGTCTATCAGGTACGACAATGGGTGTAGGTTGGGTAGTGGTGGCTTTATGACGGAATTGTATTGCACGGGGTACAAAGTTTTCTGGTGTCCGAAAGATAGTCGGAGTAATTATGTGGCAAGGCTTAGCTAGCATCTTGAGAGAGATTTTGAAGAGGAATTTAGACTTAGGCTCGTAAGTGGTGGATGGGGCTACTCCGAGAGATTGGTGTTGGCATTGGTATTGCTATTATGCTATATATAATTGCATTCCAAATAAGTGTTTTAGCCCAATTGAAGACTCTCCAATAGTGTTGGACATTATTTTTGCAATTTTTTCTTGGTGGGTCCAACCACTACAATGAAAATGCACACAATATTGTTAAAATTTTCATGGACAAATGGCAGACATACTAGTTGTTTCACTTTGCCATAAGTATGTTTGTTAGTTGCTTTTACATGGTTTGTTGCCCTTAATGGAATTTCATTTTTGTATTGAATTATTGATTTAGTAAATTGTACAACTCTAAATCACCTACTTTGGTCCAGCACCTATCATATTATAATAAAAACCGTCACATTATGAGTTGTTTGGGTAATTATTTTAAAGAAAAGGAAATTGACTCTTTAACAGAATCATCATTTATTATTCTCTCCGTCTGAAAATAACAGTCACATATATTATTTTGGGAAATTTCATCAAACAAAAGATTTGGCGTTTATCTTAATATAAACCTTATACAAATATATTTAAAAACGCATAAAAATGCATATGGAATAATAAAATGTCAGTTTCATAAATGATAATCGTATTTCTTATTATAACTTTGAGTTTTTATTTTTTTTTAAAAAAAATTATGACAAGATGAATATTCAATTCTGAGGAAAATTTGATGCCGTGCCTAGCAACATCCTAACTTAATTTAATTACTTCTCCAAGTAACTCAAATGTCACCGCGACAAGAATTGATCATCATTAAACAATTGTATTTAACAATAATAACACAATGGAAGTAATATGATTCTTGATCATCATTAAACAATTGTATTTAACAATAATAACACAATGGAAGTAATATGATTCTCAATGATTATATGCTTGATCATATTAGTATTAATGCTTGTTGATGTTGGCTTGCTCCCTAGCAATGACAAGAAAAGGATCATATTTATAAAATAAAACTTATATACTAACCGTTCAATTTGCATCATCATCATAGAGTTAATTGGAGTTAATTAGCAAATTTGGTTCAATCAATTATTAGTGCTAGTGCACTACCTCTTTGTATAGTTTGACTTTGTTGTTGTGCTTCCTAATGGATGCATTGGTTTGCTCCATATTTGGAATATTAGTATTTTTTGTACCCAATTGTAATGATGGTTGTCTATTATTTGTCTAGGCACTCAAATAAAATTGATGATGTTATTACTATATGATTTAGAAGAAAAAAAGATATGCTTTTGTATGGCATAATCAATAATTCAATTATGATTCTCGGTTTGATGTTTTGAACTATTTATTTCGAATATAAGTGTATGATGCATATTTAGATCTTCATTACCCTGAAATAATTACATGCTTCTATGTTTTTAAATTTGTTATACGTTTAGAAACTAGTTATGGTTGTAATAATATTGGCAATCAATCACATAAAATTTTAAAGTTGCTTTGTTCTTTTTCCAAATTACATGTATAGTCATTTTTATTTTGTAATTTTGTGTGTTTGTACACGCACAATTCTAAAAACTAATGATCTATTGGTAACAAATCTAACGATGTTAGTTTTTAATCAAGAAAAACTCTATTCTTTACCGCCAAGAAACCACCACCCTCCTCACTCGCACATTGTTAGTTGTTCATTATTTTGTTGCTATAAAAGTCGAGAGTTTATGAAGGAATTATACTATATCCAACTGTTCTTATTTGAAATTGATTTGTCATTTAAAGTTAATAAATCTTACACAAAATGAGTGTAACTTGAATAAATTATAAAGGGGAATAACCATATTCGTTAATAGCAAAAATAACAACGAACATATCCTCAACATCTGCCAACTCTCTTTTAAGGATGTTCAGAATAAGGGTAGTTGTTTTCATTTTTGTACATTATCCATTTACTTATGGACAAGCTATCTTGATTAATGGACAATTTGGTTTTGAGGGAACTTTATAGGGATGAGAATTATGTAGCCCATCACCTAGCTAGCCAGCTAGGATAGTACCTTTTGGTTTACTCACGATGTTGCTTCTTATGTACTAATGGACAATTTTTCCAAAACTTGATTAATGGTACTTTTAACTTTTTCTCAAAAAAAAAAAAAGAACAAGCCATCTAGGATGCTTATAGACTACCGTTCAAGCAAAAGTAGTTGAGAACGGATAACCTAACATATGTATGTTTGATTAGTGACCTGAAAAAAAATTCTCGACCACCATAACCAAAAACGATAACAAACAAGCCTACGGTGGTTTCGGCATGCGGGAGTAACAACTAAAATCAGTGAATCAGCAACTTAAAAACCTGCCACAACAGCAAACAACGTGGCAAACATAAACACCAGCTTTTATGACCATCTTTCAAGTTTCAACAAGTTTCCTTTATTCTGAAAAAATACAACTCTCCCGCCAAACCCTCTTCCTTCAATCTTCACTTCCATTGACGGTTAACTTCAGAGGAGAGAGAAAATGGCTATGTCGTACGAACAACGCCTGAAAGCGGCGGCCAAGATTATAACGGCCGCCGATGATTCTCCGGCGCCGTTCAACTGTGATGAAATCGGAGTTACGGCCACCCTTAAACCTCACCAAATTGACGGCGTCTCATGGCTTATTCGCCGTTATCTTACCGGCGTCAACGTTATTCTCGGTTCGTTCCACAATTCTCTCTCCTTTTTTTCATTGAATTTTTATGATTTTTATGCGTATTAATTGATGTTAAATTATTTATGAGGAATTTTTTTTTTTAAAAACCTAGGTTGGTTTTTTTGTTTGATTATAAGTTGTGTACTTTGTTTAAGCTAAAATGAGATTAATTTGAGTATAGAACCCTAATTTTATTGCATTTTGTGGTGAAATGAGGATGATCATTATGCTTAGTAGTTAGTTTAGAGCTCTATGATGATTAATTGAATGTTGAATTAGATTATTGCTTAGATTGATGGAGGTGTTATTGCTAGCAAAAATTGTACTAATAGGTAGTTGTTCGACATAATTTTGATATAAGAGGTTTCGAATAAGTGATATTTATCGGGTTTTCTAATAACCTTTTTTTTGGACTAGTATATTCAAACTAATAGAGTAATAGGTACTCTAATGCCTTAATGCATACTTCGTACCAGATATTACCTGCACTCGGAGTCTGGATGGTGTATCCCGGTTTTGAATGAACAAATTGTTCTACTATAATGAACAAATATCGGATATGTTCATTGTTTTCGAAGCATATGTTAATGAGTTTCATTGCTGATTTCATAAAAGGATTAATATGTCTGTTATATTTGAACTATATAGATTTTGAAATTATATGATGTTTATAACTTTTGAACTTTTTGAAGTAAGTACTAAATATTCAAAAGTTTGAATTATTTGTTCTTTCAGATTGATAGCAGTTTATAGTAACTGTTGCTTTGTGTTACAATGCCTGACAACAAAGGGGTTTGGATCATTACTTTTTTCTCTTTACTTACATTTATATGCCCGTGTATTTGCAGGAGATGAGGTATGATACCTTCAGGAACCCTGCAGCTATGTGTCAAATTCTCAAATGTCATATTGCAACACGTTTATTTTATAAGTGTAATGACGATGAAAGTAGAACATAGGCATCACCGTGATGTAAAGCATCTTGAAGAATATTAATATATTTTTGATTTTGTCCTTGGTTCTGTTTTTATTGTTCTGGACTGAAATATTGGCAGATGGGATTGGGTAAAACTTTACAAGCCATCACTTTTCTGGGCTACCTGAAGTTCTGTAAAGGATTGCCCGGGCCATTCTGTGAGTCAACATCTTTTGATCTTTTGGATCATACATCATTACTCATCTTTTTTTATTTCCTTAGCTGATTCAAATGTCTTTCTAATTTATGCAGTGGTCTTGTGCCCCTTAAGTGTGATAGATGGTTGGGTGTCAGAAATAGAGAAATTTGCTCCTAAGTTGAGGGTTCTCAGTTATGTTGGTGATAAAGAGCACAGGCGTATGCTGAGGAGGACAATGTATGAACATGTTCAAGCACAATCTTCATCTACTGATGTATGTTTTGATTATGATATGGCTTTTGATTACATGTGAATTGCTGCTACAACCTTTTTTTTTAATTTTAAAATTTGGATTTTTTGACTTTTGCTACCTGTGAAACAACTCGATTTCAATTTTGCTACCCATCAAAACTTTTATTTTATTTTACTACCTAACATATGCACTTTTTTAAAATTTTGCTACCCGTTAACGGAATCTGTTAGGGTTCCGTTAAGTTTATTATTTTTTTTAAAAAAATAATAATAAATTAAATTAAAAAATTAAAAATAATATAAAAAAAAACAGCCATCCCTGCCACCCCCCTCCCGGCGGCCGACACCCAGAGTTTCGGCCGGCGCCGGCGCGCGAACCCACCCCCTCCCTACGCAGCCCCCCTTTCCCTTTCCCCCACCCCTACACCCCCCCCTTTCCCTACGCAACCCCCCATTTCCCCCTTCATCCATTACTGGCCCACCTCAAGCCACCCACCCATCTCCCTCCTTCGAAATTGGTTCGAATTTGGGCATAATTCGAACAATATTGTCGAAATTGTTTTAGGGATTTTGTTTGTTTGCATTTGAATTGCAAAATCATGTATTTAATTGTTGTTTTCGTTTTGAAATCAATGAGTTTGATTCGAAAAAATTAAAAATCCTAAATTTTCCCCCAATTTGATTTCAAAATTTAGGGGTTTCGTTAAGGGGGTTCGAGTGGCTAGGAGGTGTCGCAGGTGGGTACGGGTGGGGTTGGGTCGCGATGGGGTGGTGTTGCTATGGAGTGGTCTCGCATGTGGGTTCGTGAGCTGGGCGTTTCTGGGCTATTTCGTGGGTGGGTGGCTGGGTGCTTTCGAGGGGGGCAGTGATGGATGAGGGTGGTGGAGGGAGGTGGCTGGGTGGCTTGAGGTGGGCAATGATGGATGAAGGTGGTGGAGGGACGAGGGTGGCTGGCTTGAGGTGGGCAGTGATGGATGAGGGTGGTGGAGGGGGGTGGAAGTTGAGGGAGGGGCTGCAGGGGTGGCTAAGGAGGGAGTGGTGGCCGGAAGGTGGTAATGAGGGTGGCTGGATCTCACTAACGGAATTATTAGCGGATTCCGTGAACTGGTAGCGAAATTTAAAAAACGGGATTTGATAGGTAGTAAAATAAAATAAAAGTTTTCATAGGTAGCAAAAGTTAAATCGACCTGTTTGACATGTTTGACAGGTAGCAAAAGTCAAAATTTCCTTAATTTTTTTTATTTTATTTTTTTAAAAAATAAAAATAAATATGCAATATACACTTATATATGCTATGGTAGTTGAATTTGGATTCTGAATGGATTGCAGATGCCTTCATTACATTTCGATGTCCTTTTGACGACATATGACATTGCGCTGATTGATCAAGACTTCCTTTCACAATTTCAATGGCATTACACTGTGATTGACGAAGCTCAAAGGCTTAAAAATTCTTCAAGTGTAAGTTGGACACCTCATGCTCTTTCCTAATTGTTGAAAATAAATAACTTATGCTGTGTATGTTGGAACTTGGAACTTTCAAATATATAATGGTTTGTCCTCACTTTGTGGAACATGTTGTCTTCCAATTTCTTCTTTGGGTGCCATAGTGTAGGAGAGAGACTGATTACTTTTAAAAGAAACAATTTATGTGAAATTTGGGATAAGTAGTGTTGTCATTTGAAGAATTTCAGCATTCCTAAAAAGGAAATGATGGAATTAATTCAAAACATCCTAAAATGAATTAGGTAGAATAAAAACCGAGGACGTACTTGGAATGCTGTAAAAAATAAAACTAAAACTCTCAAACCTCCTCCCTATTTTTGTGATGAATGTGGATTCTATAATATCCCCAATGCAAGCTAAAAGATTATCCCTTTCTTGGTAAATGCCTCCAATTGGAATGTAAATAAAGTATATTCAATACCGAATACTAAGCTATTTTGCATTTTATGAAATTTTAAAGTGCCTCACCCACAGGTTCTGTATGGCGTGCTCAAAGAGTGTTATGTAATGCCACGACGTTTGCTGATGACAGGCACACCCATCCAAAACAACCTTACTGAACTTTGGGCATTGATGCATTTTTGTATGCCATCTGTTTTTGGAACATTGGAGCAGTTTCTTCACACATTTAAGGCTGTAGGAGATGCTTCTGCTGGTATTCTTTCTTCACAATCTCACATTGCTTAGTCAGTTGGCTGCTACCTCTATTTGAGGTTATAAAATTGTTTTCAAGTTTTTTCAGTAAACTTTTCTAGCTATTCTAACCATCTTATGTACTGAATGACTTAAGGGAGGGTATTATGGGTAGTTTAGTATGTTAGTAATTGTCAATTGTAGTTTGGGAAATTTGGTAAATATAGTATTATCAGGTTAGTAGTTTGTAACCTTAGTATAAGTAGAGGGAGGGTAGAAAGAAAAGAAGGTAGGCAGAAATTTGTATTGAAGGGAACCTTGGAGAGTATTGTATCTTCGTCATTATAATGTATGAGCAGCTAGATACAAGTTAGCTGTTAGCAAAGCAAATGATTGAGCAACTTATCCTTAAAAGCGACGATAACATGGTCTTAGGCTTTAGTGTCTTTGTTATGTATGTATATATTTTTTTGTTATTTATTTATTTATTATTATTATTAGAATTGTCAAGAGATTGATAGTTACTAATGGATGTTTGTCTATGAAATGTGGTGTGTCTCAAACATAAGTCAAGAGTGTATCTTAGAGGTAGAGGTTTCAAACTTTTAACCAGTGTGCTCATATGGCTGAATGACCCTGGGATTGATTTACATGCCATTGACTAATAAATGGGGTATTTCACTCAGCCTCTATTTTCAATTTGCTTCCTACTGTTTGCAAATGGACATGGCATATTATTGGCATGTAGGCTGCAGTTCTTATGTCTCATTTACTCTTGTTACGTCTATGCTTGTGCATCTTGGCAAGGAGTGTACCAAAATAGTCTATGAAGCAAGGAAATGATGGCTTAAAATTTCTATTTACTAGATGTTCCCAGAAAATGAGTCTCCTCTTTTGTTCGATTTTGTATTTTTTGTTAGCAGTTTTGAATGAAAGTTGGTTATTGTCTAGCTGTGTCAAACTATGCGCAGAAATTTAGTGTACATGATTTCCTGTTCCTAGTTCTGAGCTCTGATGCACTTTGTACAGCACTTTCATTTTTTCTTTTCTTGCGTACTTGACCTCGAAAAAGGAGAAAGGGTTTCCTGGTGAATAAAATTGGAAGAAAACACAATTTTATCATCCTTTACTTTTCTTGGTTGAATGAATTGCTAATTGCTTTGAGCACATATCTGCTGACTTGCATTTGTCTATATAAGTATTTATGAATACCTTTCAAGAACCATTTAAACGAGTTAAGTCTATTTGCTTATAATTTAAGAACAGTTTAAAATTTTTACAGTGAACAGCTTATTTGACTGAGCGCTTTCTATGTTGCTTCTATTTTTCCTTGAAATTTCCTCATCAGGCCATGATGGTGCCGCGGTTAAGGAGCAGCTTAGCACTTTGAAGTGCTTGCTGGGAGCGTTTATGCTACGCAGGACAAAATCTAAGCTTGTTGAATGTGGAACTCTTGTGTTGCCTCCTCTTACTGAGATTACAGTGTTGGTCTTCTATTACCACTTACTGCGTTATTTTTTATTTTTATTAATTCATGTATGTTATTCATCTGCAAATTTTGTAAGAATTAACCTTAGGTAGCTAAAATAAATTGTATGACATAAAAGAATCTTATATTTTGCAATTCTACAGGATGGTACCACTAGTAGCCTTGCAGAAGAGTGTTTATACATCAATTTTAAGGAAAGAGCTCCCTAGACTTCTTGCTTTGTCTTCTGCAACATCGAATGTCCCATCATTGCAGAATGTTGTAAGTCATCTCCGCGATTATACTCTTGAGACTGAAGTACAGATCATATAGTTTTGACAGTTAATTGCTTTGTTAGTGGCAAAATATGTTGCTACATTATGTCCCGAATTCCGGATAGGTGTCCTTTATGCGGTCTTTAATAAAAACAAAGACAATCTCCGAGTCATTATGCTATCCTTTCTGAGGAAATATACTTGCAGCTTATAATAAGAACTGAAAAGAGAAAACAATAACCCTCAATCCAAGAGTTTGTGTATCATGATCTTTGTATCCTTTTGCATTGGGATTTGGTATTATTCTTGCTTGGAATCCTTATCCATCCCAACATATATCTATCTGATCACGCTAAAATGAGACACATTTTAATTTTAATATGGTTCAATTTCCTCAAGTTGAAAATAGATTTTGCTAGAAAATTCTCTATAATTTAACATGATTGACATAACTAAACTTTTTCTGTTAATTGACATTGTTTAGGAGTACTTTTGGACTTGGGCAGCTACTGTTTCAATATCGACTATCTTTTGTTATTGAGATTTAATATTTGTATATGTTGTGTTTGTTCAGGTAGTCCAGCTACGAAAGGCATGTAGTCACCCTTATCTCTTCCCTGGTATTGAACCTGAACCGTATGAAGAGGGTGAACACCTTGTTCAGGTGATTTTTTTTGCACGACACTGCGCTTGCATGGATTTTTTTTTCTTTTGGTTGGGGGGGGGGGGGGGGGGTTGGGGAAGAAGAAGTTTGGTGCAACAGAGGATTCTACACTGGACAAGTTTTTTTGGTGTTCATGGTGGTATCTTTGTTTTGCCTCGGTTTTAATTGGCTTTTCTTTGGTTTGCATAGGATAATGTATGTAAATGCTATTTTTCCATTATTATATGTAACAAACATATTGATAAGAACATATTTGGTTTTACTCTGTTTCAGGCTAGTGGTAAACTTATGATTTTGGATCAACTTCTTCAAAAGCTGCACGAATCTGGACACCGTGTTCTATTGTTTGCTCAGATGACCCAGACCCTTGATATTTTACAGGTATCTTCCTTTATTTTTCTTTTGAGGACTGTGAGAAAGCATAATTATGTTTATGTAGATTGGTTTATAAACTGAGAATACTTTCCCTGGATGTTTAGGATTATTTGGAGTTACGTCGTTACTCTTATGAGCGCCTTGATGGGTCAGTTCGAGCAGAAGAGCGTTTTGCTGCAATAAGAAATTTTAGCCATCTATCAACCCCTGGGAATGCAAACTCAGTATCCAGTGAAGTAGGTGCTTTTGTCTTTTTGATATCTACAAGAGCTGGTGGAGTAGGTTTGAATCTCATGGCTGCTGACACTGTATGTCCTACTTCATTCGGTAGTGTGTATAGAAATTCTTACAGTATTTCCTAGTTTTCTCTGGGGATGTTTAAATATCGCATTTAACATTGTGCCGTTTGTGCATTTTTCTGTCCATCGCAATAACATTGTGCCGTTTGTGCATATTTCTGTCCATCGCAATATTTTATTGGACTCTCCAGAGGTCCTATGCACATGCCCAAGATGTAAAAGATGGTGTCATTTCGTTGAAAGTTGAACTTTTGTTTGGAAACTTTTTCATTCTTGCAAGCTCTTTTTTCATAGATGTTAGTATGCTTGGAATATTCCTAAGAAAATAGGTATTTTGTGAATCTGTAACCAAAAGTCGATAGTTTGGTTTTACTTTAAAGAATTATGATTTTTCTTGTCTCTCCCTTTTTATTTCTTCCTATGGGGTGGGGGTGGAGAGAGGGTGTTGGAGTGTACTTTTTTGTGAACACCTTGCAGTGTTACATAACAAATTTGTATTCAATGTCTACTAAAGTGCTACTTCAGTAGTTATTAGTGCAATTGTTTTTTTTTTTTTTTTTTTTTTTTTTTTTTTTTTTTTTGTTTGGTTTTGAGTAGAATCTGATATGAAAAACTTTCTGATTGAGGAAGTTTCTAGATTCCATTTATTCACATGCCATGTAATAACTCTGTCTGTAGCCCGCGTTGTACAATTCTTTAAGATTACTGTCTTCTTTGCCATCAATTGCAGGGTTGGCGGGTTGCAGTTAAGAATTTTTTTATTCGTACCCATGGTATATGATATAAATTTAGTGATTTTATCAAGTATAATTGCAGGTTGTATTTTATGAGCAAGATTGGAATCCTCAAGTTGATAAACAAGCATTGCAGCGCGCACATCGGATTGGTCAGATGAACCATGTGCTGTCAATAAACCTTGTTACAGGGCGTTCTATTGAAGAGGTGAGATTAAGGGCCTGTTCTCTTCCGTTGAAATTCAGCTCAGCTCAGTTCAATTCAGTTCAGCTCTTAATTTACGTCTAATGATATTGCTAATGATATAAAGCCAAATTTCATTCTTTTAAGCTCTTATTACGACGACGACGACGACAACAACAATAATAATAATAATAATATTAACAATAATAATAATAATAATAATAATAATATTAACAATAATAATAATAATAATAATCAATAGGTAATAAATAATAATAATAATAATAATAATAATAATAATAATAATAATCATCAATAAATAATAATAATAATAATAACAATAATAATTGAAATAATAATACTAATAATAATAATCAATAAATAATAATAATAATCATCAATAAATAATAATAATAATAATAATATTAACAATAATAATAATAATAATAATAATAATAATAATATTAATAATAATATGTACATTTGTATATACACATATGTATAGTAATAAATAATCAAAGATCACTAATCCGTAGTTAAAAATCACTAATTAATAAGTTCAGCTCAGCTGAGTTCAGTCAATCGGAACAGACCCTAAGTGGTTAGTTAAGGTGCGGGAGTCACTGCATTAACAAAGGTGCCTAACAAGTGTTTTCTTCACTGATTAGGTCATTATGCAGCGAGCGAGAAAGAAATTACAACTTAGTCATAATGTCATTGATGATGAAGCTTCAGAGCACATGGGGAAAGAACTCTCTGGGGCAGGGCCTGGCGACCTTAAATCTATGATATATGGGTTGCGTTTATTTGATCCTGAAGAGAGTAGTAAAGAAAATTTCAGTGAGCCAACGCTGTCAGAATTAGATGCATTGGCTGCTGGAGTGCTTGCCAAGCGCAATGAGAAGAAATTTGACGAGGAAACTGGGGAGTTTGCATTGACTCCAATTAGTCTAAGTGGAAATGATTTTGGGATGGAAAGGGCTGATGTTACTATAAATGTTGACCCTGGTCTTGATGAAGCTTCATATCGTTCTTGGGTAGAAAAATTTAAGGAGGTATCAGAATCGGTTGATAGCACTCCCGTGGAGCTGGAGAGTAGGAGAGTGACATCCGAGGAAAAACTTCAAAGGCTCGAGGCTGCGAGAAAGAAAGCAGAGGAAAAGAAGTTGGCCAAGTGGCAAACGCTTGGATACCAATCACTTTCTACTCCTGATCCAATCCTGCCTGTAGATTCTGATTTGATGTCAGACCAAGGTTCTGTTAATTTTGTCTTTGGAGATTGTACAAATCCATCTGATGTTTGTCCGTCTGAGCCGGCCGTTATCTTCAGGTAAAGCTGTTGTTTTTGATATGTGTTCAGTTGTATTTTGTAGAGTCGAGACATTTGGGCAAGACCGTAAGAGTAATGAGTGGCCTTTCTTTTCTTATTTGTTTAGTTATTTCCTTTAAGTTGCTGATACCGCGTATGAAGTTTCAGTAGGGATCAAGCTGAAGTTTGTGCCATGCATTGGCAACTGGGTTTGGGGTGGGGGGTATCTGGTCACAAACACTTTTATCCTCTGGGATTTTACTGGGTTTGCTGTCATGTTTTGACATGATATGGGGGATTAGTTTATGTCTTTTACCCTTTGTTTGGACATGAGAAAATGGAGAGAAAGGAAAGGGAACAAGTTCCCTTGTTTGGATATTAGCTTGGAGAAGAAAGGGAGGGAGAAGCTATAATAAACAAGCCATGCCCAGTTGATCTGCCAGATCAACGAAATTTGTTTATCTTGGGGGTATAATCGTCTTTTCATCTACCAAGTGAAGGACACATGCGTAATTTGCTACAGTCTTTTGGATGGCCAACTAACAGTATCAAAGGCTAGTTGCATAAAGTCATCGGACAGCTGTTAAAAGTACAAAACCATTGGCCAAGCTTTTGAACATATTTACATAATATGCCACCAGATTAACAAATTTCGTTAATCTGGCAGATTAACTTGTATTTGCCGATAATAAACACTATCCCTCCAGAATTGGAGTGATTTGGAGGATATATGGAGCTCCTCTTTTCCCTTCTCATTGTATCCCTCCCCTTCATTTCCTTTCTATCTTGCTAAACAAAGTGTTAAGGATAAAAGTCTGATATGCTCAATTGTCCATGCTTAAGCTGAAAGTCTGAATTTATTCTTATCGCTTTTGTATTGTTACATTTCCTTCAGAATCTCTTTTTATTTCTCTGTCTTTTTTTTTTTTTTTTTTTTCTGGGGTTGCTTTGTGTTTTGAGGTTGAGGGTGAAATGAGTGACTTGATGACATAATATGTTGGACAAAGAATGCCCTTTTTGAAATATCAAGGTTTATGTGCGAGAAATTGAAGGGTTCAATCCTGACCTTAACTCTATTCTCTGGCAATATATTGGAAAACAGGCTGTGGCTTGGGTTTAGCCATTAAATACCAATAACATTGACACTTTAAATCCTAAGCTAAGCAGAGGATGCATATAAGAAATAAGCACACCCGTTTGTCCTCTGGCTATATCCTCTGTGGCCTCTTGTTATACTCTTTTTTTTTTTATTTCCCTGTGCCTTCCTCAAGTTATATAAGCTCTTGAATGCCTACCTAGAGTCAGTATGATTTGCTATAATGGTAGCCAACTTCACACAGTAGTCTCATACTTTATATTAGTTTAGGTGCGACATGACCCCCCCCCCCCCAAAAAAAAAAAAAATAAAAAAAAGAAAAAAGAAAAAAACACACACACACAAAGAAAAAAGGGATACTGAGAATGGGCATTATTGCAAAATTTGTGTATGCTTTGTTCGACTGTTTATTGAATTCTGTACTGCAATTTTTGGTATCAGTATGATGATTTCTATCAGAAATAAATTTGTTTGTCTATCAGCTGTGTTGATAACTCTGGAACTTGGGGCCGTGGTGGCATGTTTAATGCATTGGCCAGACTCTCCAGTAAAATTCCAGAGGCATATGAGCGTGCATCTGAATGTGGAGACCTTCATCTTGGAGATCTTCATCTAATAGAAGTAGATGGTAAGTTTTCATGTTCAGTTTCGTATGCGTTTAACTTTGAATTTTTTTTTTTATCGTTGGCTCTTAAATGGTCCAATACTCAAATTCTTTCTGATGGTATCCTAAAAACTCACTCCTTTTGCTTTTAGTTCCTTTCTCAAAGTTGTAATGCACAAGAAACTCGAAAACAAATAGTTTTACTGTGAATTAAAGCTTGAACAAAAGGTGCATTGACCAACATCGATTCACTTATCTTTCTTCGTCTTTTTTTATTTATTGACTTGCAAAAGTGCACTTGAATTCTCTATTGGAATTTTTTTTTTAATGTGTGGAAGTTATTAGTTAATGATAAATTTATTGACACTATTTGTTTATTTTTATGGTAGTCATTTTTAGCTTATGAATCAAAGTATTGCAGACAACCACCATTTTCTTTTCTTCTTCTTCTTTCCTTTTTTTTTTTTTTTTTGGGGTGGTTATAGAACTGTTGTGAACATTCTATTAAGTTTCATAATCTCAATCCTACCAAACTTATCTTTGCTGACTGCTGGGTCACACTATAGGTTGGAGAACTTATCTGTTTTTGGTCTCTTTCTGGTACAATCAGCACTTTCATCTGAGATCTGAGTGCTTGTTATATAGCAACTTTAGTTGATTTTCCTTCTACGTGAGCTATAGGAATCTGAGTGTTTCATCACTGTATATGGCTTCGAAGACCTTGTGGGTTTTTGGCACATCGTTTGGTGGTTTACAATGATCAATGACTACTGTATTGCTATGTTAGTGATGTAACATCTTGGTGGCAATGTGGCATGCAGATGCTGAAAGCGAGCGGCTCAAAGATGGTGGGATGCCTTGGTGGGTTGCCTTAGCTGTGGTTCAGTCGTACAATCCCAGGCGTAAAATTCCACGTAGCAGTATCTCTACAAGTGATTTGGAACTTTGCTTATCCAAAGCATCATTTGCTGCTGCCCAAAAATCTGGTAATATATATTCCAACCTGTTGGAGTTGTTAGGGGTTCTTGGATCAGTGGTGCTGTGCTGATCAAAACTTGAAACTGCATTTATCATTGATGTTATTATCAGTAATAATATGATGACAATGATCTTATCTTGAAGTTAAAATGAATACTTTTCTTAGTGCATTAATTATCACGTGTACTGTCAACAGTGTAGATCATTGTCCTATAGAAACTGTAGTCATAATCTACCTTGCTTTTTTACAGTCTTCCTAATATCACCACCACTTATATGACATCATGACCCTGCTGCTTCAGTTGCTGCCGCCGAATATTATTTACTGATTTCATTGTCTTAAAACTAGCTGAAGATTGTGTTGAATATGTTGTTACCTTCTTATTTCCGTTAAGTCCTAGAACTAATGGCTCTTGACTAGTAAGCTACTGGTTTATCGATTCTGCTCACATTTGTAACTGATTGCCTTTCGTTGTTCAGATTCATAGTGCTTGTCATTTCAATCTGATCATTCTCCTTGCAAGAACTTTTTTTTCATTTATATTTATTTTCATGACGAGCGGCAAAGACCAGCCTTTGGTTCCGAGTCCACTTGAAGTCCTGATTATTTTCTGCAATAATCTGTGGCTAACTACATTTTCTTACGTAAATTACGTGAGCAGCCTCTATCCACATGCCACGTGTTGGGTATCAAGATGGATCAGATCGAGCAATTTGGTACTCTACTGAGCGTCTTCTGCGAAAATATTCCTCCATATATGGCATCAAGATTTATGTGTAAGTTTCCGTTTATATATATATATATATTACCTCCGATTTTTTTTTTTTTTAATTGTAACTTTGGAATATTTTATATCTCTCAACTAAAAAAAAATCGAAGGTAGTTGTACTTTTACCTGAACATGAATTATGAATTCCTTTTCCCTCTGGCTTCTCTGTACAGGTATTATTACAGGAAGCCTTCAAGATAGTGAACTACTACATGTCAATCATTTTGGTGCTGAAGACGAAATGAGTAAAAAGTAGTCCAAGCTTTCATTTGGTACTTCTTAGTTCTTTATTCTTATCCATCTGTTGTTTACTAACTTTTTGTGCAAGACAGTCAGCTACCATAACCCATGAACCCCCCCCCCCTCCCCAAAAAAAAAAAAAAAAAAAAAAAAAACTTTTGCATTTCCTCTTAGAATGAAGTAGAGGTGATGATTGTGCTTTAAGACCTTTCATTTACAGTAAATATTACAGTTTGTATTCTTAATTTGCTGCTTGCGAACAGGGTGCCATGATCAGATGGTCAATTGTTTTGTCTGTCTTGGAAAGGTTGGAGTGTATGTATCATAATTATGTTTTAAAATATCTTCATCCTTTTCTATCTGAGTAAGCCTGGTTTATTAACAACTTATTTGTATTTTAGTTACTGTAAGCAATTTTGTGGTATATATACATAATTTTGGAATATGACTACTATGCATTGTACATAGTTTCATAATAGCAACCTTTTGTGCTACAACAGAAGTCAGGATTAGAAGAAAATTTTAAGTTAGAATCAGGTTACATATTTGCCCCTTACCAGCAGAGATAAGGAAATGAAAAAGATTGTTTCTCTTATAGAAAATCATTTCACACCATTTTGTCCCAAGATGCTAATTGTTGTGAACCAAACAGAAGGTGACTTAAATAATGCATTATTTTTCTTTTCATGCACTTCCTGTTCACCTACTTTCTTCCAAGACTAAAGCTGATCTCCCCATTTATAAGCGCCCTAGTCAAAACTTCAAAATATATCCCACAAAGCACCAAATTTACAAGATCCATCTGGAAAAGGACTTGTAAATTGTAATGATGTTGAAAACCAATGGTAATGGTGCTTCAAGCGACCGTACTGCCACTCTAGGCAAGGCTACTGTGCTTGCGATCGGTAAGGCTTTCCCTAAGCAACTCATTCCCCAGGAACACCTGGTTGAAGGTTACATCCGCGATACCAATTGCCACGATTTGGTCGTGAAGGAGAAATTAGAGCGATTATGTAAGTAAAATTAAGCAAATGTCTAGAAATAATCACTCTTACGAGTAAATTCTTAATTGTTAATTGTTATCCAGTGTTTTTCTGCACTAGTTGAATGTATGCTGATTTTGTTTTATTAATTTCCATTTGTTTTGGGTTTGATTAGGCAAGACAACAACAGTGAAGACAAGATACACGGTGATGTCCAAAGAAATTCTTGACAGCCATCCAGAACTTGCAACTGAGGGAACACCAACAATCAGGCAAAAGTTAGAGATAGCAAACCCGGCAGTGGTAGAAATGGCTCTTGAAGCCAGCATTGCTTGCATTAAGGAGTGGGGCAGGCCAGCCCAAGACATAACCCATATTGTTTATGTCTCCTCCAGTGAGATAAGATTACCTGGGGGTGACTTGTACCTTTCTGCCGAGCTCGGGCTTAGGCCTGATGTGGGCCGGGTGATGCTTTACTTCTTGGGCTGCTATGGTGGGGTGACAGGTTTGCGAGTTGCCAAGGACATAGCAGAGAACAACCCAGGTAGCAGAGTACTCTTGACCACCTCCGAAACCACCATTCTGGGCTTCCGTCCCCCAAACAAGGACCGCCCCTACGACCTTGTTGGGGCTGCCCTTTTTGGAGACGGAGCAGCAGCTGTAGTAATCGGGTCAAACCCAGATTTGAGCCGGGAAAGCCCATTTATGGAGCTCAACTACGCGGTCCAACAGTTCTTGCCTGGGACCCATAACGTGATCGATGGCTGCCTGACTGAAGAAGGCATCAACTTCAAGCTAGGTAGGGACTTACCCCACAAAATCGAGGACAACATCGAAGAGTTTTGCAAGAAGCTTATGAGCAAGGAAGGATTGAAAGACTATAACGAGCTGTTTTGGGCAGTCCATCCTGGTGGTCCGGCGATTCTTAATAGAGTCGAAAATGCTCTCAAACTAACTGGAGATAAGCTGAACTGTAGTAGAAGAGCATTAATGGATTACGGAAATGTTAGTAGCAACACTATATTCTACGTGATGGAGTACATGAGGGATGAGTTGAAGAACAAAGAAAATGGTGGAGAAGAATGGGGACTTGCCTTAGCATTCGGACCTGGGATTACTTTTGAAGGCATTCTCCTTCGTAGCCTTTGAAATAACTACACATTTTTATGTGTTACTACAAAATAAATGTTGGGGGGAATTATTATCTTCTTTACTTCCTTTTTTTTTTTTTGTGATTGTTGCTTCGGAATGTAGTTCAAGCAGAAACTACTAGGTTCAATTTAATTTAGGAAAGGTCTTTAATTTCATAGATAAATACTATTCCCATTAATCAAAATTAATAGATTTGTTCTCCTTGCGTTTGGAATTAGTACTAACTAGGGCTATTATATACGGATAGTTCTAACTGTATTTGGAAATCCGTCATAATAAATTAAAATATATTTACCAAATAATTATTTTTATTTCTGAAAATAGCTTTGGTAAATATGATAATATCAATATTGTTTAAATATTACTCTTATCATATTCACACGTCGTAGTTCAAGTCTAATTAGGTAAATATATTTTTTTTGACTGCAAATTAGGTAAATAATTGGGTCCTTTGATTTATATATATATATATAGGGGTCCTTGGCTAGAGTTTACCATTATAATTGCGTTACATACAATAATCCTTTGAGCTTTGTCTTTGGTGCTCCAAAATTAGCAAGCAATGGCTAGTTGTAAAGATGTTATTCATGGTATTATGGCAGCATTAGGGTTTGCGCCTAAACAAAAGAAATCTGTCACTAGCAAAAAGAAGAATGAAGCTTCCCATGCAGAGACAAACCAAGGTTCAGCTGCACGGCCTGCACGTCGGAGTACCTTTTTCCTGTGGGGCATCCCGAACGTCGTCTACGACGACGACAGCAACCACCATCACCACTATCATCATCAGCAACAAGATACCGGCCACCATCCCCATCATCACCATCACCATGGACATCATCACCATCACCATCACCATGGACATCATCATCATCATCATCATTAGGGCTTGGTTGTATCCATCGTTAACGGAGAATAATCAATATCGGAAAAATAGTTATGTGATATAGTTTTCATATTGAAATTACGAGAATAATAATATTATTTAGGTTAGGGTAATTATATTCATACCATTAACATTAGGATTTATGACGGTAGTATATGATCTTATGTTATTTTAGCCTTTTAGGGTTTGTATGATACTTATTGATGATTTTTTTTTTGAAAGATACTTATTCATGAATTATAATTAAGCCATATTATTAAACTTTTAAAGTTGTCAAAATTTGTTCTCGATTTTAATTTAGTTTATTAGTTGTAGTATAAGTTCTTTTTATTTTATGCGAAAATTCTCCATATTTTAAAATACTAGCTATTTAAAGTATTAGATGTATATGCACACATAATGTGCATAAATTTTCAAAAATTATACAAGTGATACTACATTAGCATTTCAATATGGTATGAGGTTCTTTAATTTTATTACTTTCGATCTGATTTAGCCGAATCCAACCCGTGCACCCGAATTGATAATTCCTACAAAGTATTAAACAACATACGTAGTAAATAGCCTTTAAAATCATGGACCGACCAGGCGACCACCATAAGAAAAAGCAACGGGGATTGGCTCAACGAACGGTACCGTATCATTGGTAACGTTGCGTGTCACTGGCAGTTGCAATTTTCCCACCAAAATACCTCCAGATTTTTCTAGATTCTTTTCTTTTATTTTGACTTTCGATTTTTTCAATTTCTCATAATTCAATTTCCCGATATTTTTGAGGTAAGCGGTGCAATTTTTTTTTTAATTAAAATATATTATCCTGAAATCTAGGTTTATTATTTGAACCGCGATTTTTTTTTTCCCCAATTTGATCAACGTTTCCGTAAGTTCATTATATCTTGATTTTTCTGTTAATTGCTTTTTTGGTGTTGCAATTTGGAAACTGTTTTGTTATTATTTGATTGGATTGAATATTTGTAATTGTTGATGAAATTAGTGATTAAAATTGCTATGATTTGTATTTGTGTGATTATTTTAGCTAATAATATGATTTTTAGCTGTCTTTAGAATTGTGATGTTGAAGATTACCAAATGTTTCCGAGTTTTTGTTTGATTTGTGGAATTTTGAGTATTATTATATCGTTGGGACTTCTGATTAAATGTGAATTAAGGAAATATTAATTGGTGTTTTTGTGCTATTTTACATTGAATGTTGTGTGTTAATTTCAATGGTGATGTATGTGAGCTATCAAAATTGTTATTTCTTCATATGTTTTCGACTTTTCGTCACTGCTTATTACCATTTGGAGGTATAGGTATGGATTGTAGTAAAAATTACTCAATAGCTCATTAAGGGTTCCTTAATTTACAGCCTTATACTGAACTATCCAATGCAATTTGTCATGGACCGACCAATTTCGTTGATCACGGCTCTTAAATACAATTTGGGAAGTGAGATCTAAGGGTTCTTAATATTGAATTAGTTATTGGTTGATAACTAAAGCGTGAAAACAATACCAATTGTATATTTTATGATAGGTCTTGCTGTTGGTTGAGCAAGTTAAAACTTACAAGTACTGTTTTCATTTATTTCTTATTTTTGTGTTCAACTTTGGCAATTTTTTTATGCACCAATTGTGCTGAGTTATTTTAGTTCAGTTTTTGTGACACTCGGTATTCTTGTATATACTTGTTAGGATTTATTGCTTGATTTATGGACACCGGGACTTCCAGATTTGGTGAATCAAGCTCAGCTGTAATGGTAATTTGAAAATTTCATTCTATATGATCGTTTGTATGAAAGATTATATTATTGCATTTTCCCCTTAGTTTTAAGTAGGGTGTTGTATGGGTGTGTTCACGATTGAAGTATTGTTAGCTCTATCGTTACTTTTTTGGGGGCTACTGTTGTTTCTTCCATTTGTTATAGCTTCTCTCACAAGTGTTTTTGCCTTTTATCTGGAAAAGAATGTGTTAACAATGTAAGAAGATGGGTTTAGTGACTCTAGTCCAAGCATTTTAAAGAAACAAAAATATTATGTCAAGAATTTTAGTATTATTGTATTCGAGTCTCTTAGTATTGTTTTCGATTTTCTGTAACCTTCCTTTCCCCATGGAAGAGAAGCCTTACGATTTTTTTTTTAACTTCTTGAATTTCTGAACTGGATCCTGGTTTCATAGGCACGAAATAACAATGTTGGGAATGGAAGTCTCATCCCACAGCTTTTTACATCTGTCCCA